AGGCACGTATGAGTGGTTGGCCATGTATGAAGGGGGCACCAAAGAGCACATGACCGCAGTCATAAAATTTTACTTTCGATTTCCCTGCCTTCAACACGACGGAGGTAACTCCACAGGCTGAAACCCTCTGGCTACAGGGATGTGGCAGAGGTATTTCCTACTCACTGAATGTCAGGGGCGTTCTCACATTCCTCTACCACCCTGCAGTCAGGAGCACCGAACACTAGATCTGGCTAATGGGTTGTAAGAAGGAGAAACGTGTCCCCGCTGGTCTGAAACATTTAATTCCCTGCTTCAGCTCCCTCTTGGCCTGCTACAGCCACTGAAGAGGCCAGGAGTCACGTAGGGTGCAACTACAAGATAGTTGAATTAGTAGCCTGGGTCTCTGAATGACCAGGTGGAGCAGACCACCCCCCACCCCGGCCACTGACCCACATTGGACACAACCCATGAGTGGGAAAGAAACTTTTGTTGGTGCTAAGCCACTGAGACTTGGGTGTTTTTTGCATTGCAGCGTAGCCTGGGTTACAGTAAGCATAGCCTGACTGATACAGTAAGCATAGCGGACTCTGCCTTATTAACATTGTTGCGTGTTACTCTATACCAGGCACCAAGCAGTAAGTTCTACCTGTTACCAAGCCAAGCTTGCTCTGCTCGCTGCACAACGGGCCAATAAATCGGAGACAAGGTGTTGAGGCAAGGAATACGACTTTATTAAGAAAGCTAGCAGCAGACCGAGAAGATGGCAGACTAAAGTCTCAAAATAACCATCTTATCGGGGTTTGGATGTCAGTTTCTTTTGTAGCACAGAGATGGGGAGGAGATGAGGAAGTAAAGTAAAAAGGCCATAAGTTTTGCAAATGTCCGCTGGAATCGCCAGCCTCGGGGAGGGGATGTGCTAATTTCTTCTTTCTTGCAGCCATCCACAGGTGGAGCAAGGTCGGGATGTTTCCCTGAACAAAGGCACTTTGGTTTAACATTCGGGCAGAAGGGCAGGGTTCCCCGAGGCAGGTCATTATGTATAGACAGTATCCTTTTAGTGAACAAAAGCAGTGGATAGCAAAGGTTAAAGTAAAAGGAACAGATCCAACGTGGAGTTCGATTTGGCTCTTCCCTGTTCCATACCTAGTACCTCACAACAACCTTCTGAGATAGACAATAGTATTATCCTATATTACATGACATGTATGATAGCTATATCGTATGTATCAACAATATGTAGATTATTGTCTCTATGTATATGTGTGTGTATATATATATATAGCAGTAGTATATTGTGAAAGGACGCTTTCTTCCTTTCCTCTTGTTATGCTGGAAGTAGTCTCTTTTTTTTTTTTTTTTTTTTTTTTGTTTCCGGGGGCTCTCCCTTTTTGGGCCTCTCCCCTTGCGGGGCACAGGCTCCGGACATGCAGGCTCAGCGGCCATGGCTCACGGGCCCAGCCGCTCCGCGGCATGTGGGATCCTCCCGGACCGGGGCACGAACCCGTGTCCCCTGCATCGGCAGGCGGACTCTCAACCACTGCGCCACCAGGGAAGCCCTAGGGTCTCTTCTTGCTAAAGCCAGTCCCTCCATATGGGATCTGGATGCCATCTCTTCCTCCTTTACATTAGTGATTATTCCTTCACTCTCCTGAATCTGTGTTTTCTCCTCTTCTATTCAGTTTGCCCCTGAGCATTCCCAAGTCGCTCCAGCCTTTGTGAAGGGCTTCCATCTGCCTCCCTTCCTCCTCCAACTGTGCTCTCCCTCTCTCCTGTCCCAACTCTATCTCCTGTCTCTAAAGTGTTCACCCTCACTTCTTTCCCTCAGCATTCCCCACTCTGCAACTACTATCCATACAATACGGTTCTTCCTCCATCAATCTACCAAACAGCTATTTTCAACACCAGTGATGATCTCTGTGTTGCTAAATTCAGTGGACAGTTTTCACCTTACTTCATTTCTCAGCATCACTTGACAATATTGCCCACACTGTCCTGTTGAAACCTCATGCTATAGGCTTTTCCCCTCTGGTCACTGTCTCCTTTACAGCTTCATCACCTGTTCCTGGGTGATTAAATTTTAGTCTTCATCACAACTCATCCTAGCCTCTCTTTTCTTCTCATCCTATAGTCACCTTGCCGTCTTTCACCTAGCAGTCTTTACCAAAGCTGCTATCACTATGTACACCCAGGCATCCTCCAAATGGATCCCTCCACCTGGAGTTTCTGCTCACCAATTGCCCACTCAGTTCTGTGCCTCCACTTTGATGTCTTAGTGTGGACAAGGCTGGACTGTCAAGTTCTCTCCCCTCTACTTACTTAACGTCAACCCTTCCTGCTTCTTCCTCTGCGTTCCCCATCTCAGTAGACAGGGTCACCGTCCACCTATTTGCTTATTTGGGAACCTGGGAATAGGGTTGCATTAATCCCTCTGGGAGTGCTCAGCAGGAAAATGTGCTTAACTATATTTTGAAATAAAAAAACTAAAGCATATCATAACTAAAGTAAGTCTTTTAAATTCTGATTTTCCCACAGTGACTATTATGATGCTTTTAAAAAGAATATCAAATCCTCTCCAAAATAATTTAGGGCCCCTTCTTTTGCTGTTGCTCCAAGAGCTCCTGCCCTGTGTTGGAGTCAATAGTCAGACACCATTTCCTGTTGATTCTCCCTCCCAAAATATTTTCAAATCTGTCTGCTCCTCTCGGGCGCCAATGCACTGTATCTAAAGCCAGCATGACGCTTGTCTGAATTTCTGCAATAGACTCTGAACCCTCCTCCCTGCTCCAAACTCTTTTCCACAAAGCAGTCACGCAGAATGATTGCAGGAATACACATAACTGTTCCCATCAATCCACTGCTTAAAAACCCTCAGTGGCTTCCCATTGTCCTCAGGATAAAATCTCAGATTTGTAACAGGCCCAAGATCCTGCCACTTTGCCATGAGCCAGTGTCACCTCTTTGAGCACCTGGAAAGAGCCAAGCTCCTTATGTGCCTTTGCAGGTGATTTACTCTTTGCTCAGAGCTCACATCTTCTAGCTTCTGTCTCCTCAGTTCTTAGATTTAATGTCCTTTCTTCAGATAAGCTTTTCTTAACCTCTCACATCAGGTCTGTGCTCCTTGTTAAAACACTTTCTTAGTAACCCTCACTTCCTTTGTAAGTAAACGATTATTTGTATATTATTGGATAGTTTAATCTCCCCTCCTAATTTGAATGCAAGTTCCCTGAGGAAGTCAGTACACACTCCAGTACACACAGGAATTCAGGGATCCTTGAATCCAGCTTTGTCTGATTTTAGAGCCCATGCCCACAACTACCACCTGTACATATACCTACTCATCCTGGAAGATGGCATTTTGCCTCTTTGTTTTACGACAGCCAAGTGTTGATGCACGGGAAGCTAAGTGTCAACGAAAAAAATAAAAAGATAAAGCACAACCTAAAAGTTGAGAATTCTGTTTTATTTGGCGGACAAAACTGAGGACTTAAACCCAGAAGACAACCTCTCAGGTAGCTCTGAGGGTCGGCTCTGAAGAGATACGGGAGGAGGAGCCACGATATATAGGAGTTTTGCAATGAAAATCAAAAGATTAAGTAGACATCTCAAGTTACTGAATTTAGCTCTTTTCTGTGTATGGGAAGATGCAAGAATCTGGGCTCATTGAAATCATTCCTTTGATTTGCACCTTAGCTACCTAGGGCCAGCTATTTAGGGGCCTTTTCTTTCCCATCCTGAGTCCCCTCAGGGTGCACCTTTGGGGGTGGCTGCAGTGGCTGAGAGCTTGGCAGCTGGCGCCCCCTTTGTCATCATTCTGAGTTCCCTCAGGACTCAACTATCGGTGACTTCGGGGGCTGGTAGTGCCTGATGGCTTAATGACCATCCTTTGTTTGTTAATATGGCAGGCAATATTTTTCCTTCACATAAGAAGCTAGAAAAATGTGACATCTCTGGCCGAATTCTAGAACAGTGATGTTCTGGTGTTGGTGAATCTCTTCGTGCAAGTTCTGTCTGTAGCAGATTGCACACCTCAGCCTTCTCTTTCTGTGGAAGGAGGGGCGGGGGTCTGAGGGGTGTTCAGATTACCGGCAGGACTGCTAAACTGGACCCCGGTTCTCCCACCGTATAATCTTCACATCCATAAACGGGAGTAACATTAACCACCTTGCAGGGCTGTAGCAGGACTCATTCATCTAATACGTATTTAATGGGCATCTAGTATACGCCAGGTTTTGGGTTGGATGATGGGCATACAAATAGGACTTAGGATGTTTAGCAGAGTGCCTATCTCATTTAGTTATACACGGTCACTGTTAGTAGTATTAACACAGTTGTGTGTTGACGTTTGCCTGTATCACGTAGCTTGAGTGAGAGGGGATGTGATATTTGTCACGTTCGTCACTATCCGGACGCGGGACCTGGGGGGCCTGGGGCTCCACCAACGTAAACGCGTACGCTCCGGGGACATTACCGCGCGGCGTGACTGCCCCTCCTCTCCGGGCCACCAGAGGGCGCGCGGCCTCTACCGCAACCGCCCCCTGCGTCTGCGTCTGCGTCTGCGTCTGCGTCTGCGTCTGCGTCTGCGTCTGCGTCTGCGTCTGCGTCTGCGTCTGCGTCTGCGCCTGCGCCTGCGCTGCGCCGGCTGGCCGCCTCCCCGCCCCCCGCTCCCCTCCCGCAGGCGCCCGCTCCGCCTCGCTGTGGAACGCTCCGCCTCCGTTGCCCCTAGCGGCTGTCTGTTGACTTCCGGGAACGCGGGAGTCGTCGATGCTCAGAGGGTCGCTCTGGGGGTCCAGGGGGATTCCAGGGTTCGCTTCGGGGCTGAGGCGCTGCCTTAGGCCCCACCGAATCTCCCCCAACCCCTTCCCGGCCCAGGCGCAGGCTCCCCTTAGCGTCTTTCGGCATGGGGGAACCCGAGGAGGTGGTGCCCGGTGAGTGACACCCGCGGCGGTGGCGGCGGCCGGGAGGGAACGCCGGCGGGCGGGCGGGCGGCCAGGCCCCGCCTCCGGGCCGGCCCCGTCGGGGGACAGGCCCGGGCCGCGGCGGCCTGACTTTGGTCGGAGCTCTGGCCGCGCCCCCGTGGGCGACTGAGGGGAGAGGAAAGAAGGGGAGGGACGGAAGGGCGGACTACGGGGAAGGGGGTGCTGGTCTTTCGTCTTCTAATTCTTTTAAAATAAGTTTGCGATGAGTTTCTCGAAGGCGGGGGAAGTTTTTACCTCCCTATGAGCTTCCCAGAGTACTTCCTTCGAGGTCCTCAGAACCCGGTTGTGTATTGAACGCAGTAAAGAGTGAGTGACCAGGGGGAGTGGGGTAAAAGAGGATAGGGAAAACGACTTGGAGAAAGGAGGGAGCCGTTAGCGAGGTTTTTTTTAAGACTTTTCCTCTGAGCTCCAGAAATAACCTTTGGCATTGTGGCCCGGTACCGCGTACGTATTGTGTAACAGAAATAGAAGTTTCACGAAACAGTACTTGCTGTAGATGCGCTCAGATCTTTTCTATAATACATTCTCTTAAAAATGGTCACTGTGACCCACTAAGTTGATTTTCTGACCTACCAATGGGTCACGACCAACAGTTTGAAAAAACACTGGATTAGAGCAGAATCATGTATTCACTGAAATATGTATTGCGTTTCTGCCATGCTCTTGGGCTCAAACATGGTTAAATTCCTGCCTCAAATCACAGCTTAGTGAGAGATTCAAGAAACTAAACAAAATGACAGTATCGTTTGACAGTAGTTGCCAGGGGGCCAGAGCAGAGCCACCAAACCCTGGCTTGGGGTGAAGGTAACGAGGAAGGCTTCCTGGGAACCCAGAGCAGGACAAAACAGTTAAAATTATTCATTCTATAAAAACTCAGAGCCTGTTCGAGAACCTGGCCTCCTAAATGTCAGTTATCAGTTTGAACTGACACACCTCACAATTGTTCTCAGAAGGTTTTCCACAGTGGCTAGTCTCTTGAGCATTAATATTTATTATTAATAATTGTGTTTGCTATGTTTTTCTTTCTGGTACCCATTTAGTTTCTTTATGTGTGATCATCCTCCTTGAGATTTCCTCAAAAGCTGGGTCTGGCCTCCTATTTGGAGGTGTGTGTGTGTGTGTGTGTGTGTGTGTGTGTGTGTGTGTGTGTTTACATAGTTACTGGGATCTGGTAGGAGTTTTTGGTCTCTCTCCAAAATGGTACTGGACTAAAATAGTTTGTGAATACTCCTCCCATCAGGTAGCATTTAATGACTTAATTTAAGAATGTAAAAATCTCAGCATCCTGCGTCCTCACGATGTTAATGATGCAACTCAATACTGTCCTGTTTCTGTGTGTGGAGAAAAGCCCTCACTCAAGGGCTAGACCATGAGGTGTTTACCAGCGTGAGTGGGGCATTGAGTGTATCAGCTCATTCCAGGGAGTAGATGGTCCACCTCGTGACAGCAGGACTCTTAGTCATTATGACAGTATATTTCTTACTTTACACCAGTAAATGAATAATACATAATTAATTTATTAGATTTCGTAAATAAAACTAGAATGAAGTCTGAGGAATAAAACTGAGTTAAGATGAAAGAAGGAGGGCATAGACAGTGCTGGAGCAGAAGCCAAGCTGTTGGGAGACAAGGGATCTGTATAGATAAATTACTGGAAGAATATTTTAGTTAACAGGCAACATAATAAAAGTTGTGAAATCCAAACTCTCGTATATTTGCAGATTCGGGTGCTGTGTTTACGTTTGGGAAAACTAAATTTGCTGAAAATAATCCCAGCAAATTCTGGTTTAAAAACGATATGCCTATATATCTTTCATGTGGAGATGAACATACTGCTATTATTACAGGTTAGTGTTAAAATCTTAAATGAAGATAGTAATACTTAGAGAATCCTAAGTATTACAGATGTGCTGTGTTTGAAACATGTTGAAGATATACAGAAAGTGGAGGGTTTTTTTACTTTGCCAGATAATTCTTGACAAATTGATTTATCAAGAGTGACTTCTAAGTTCCCTTAGTATATTTAAGTGTGATTTTCTATACATATTACTTTCTTAGAATAAATCTATTTGAATTTATCAATATAATCAAAAAATTATTACTGTATAATCTTAGAAACTTTTTTTTTTTTGTAGTATGCGGGCCTCTCACTGTTGTGGCCTCTCCCGTTGCGGAGCACAGGCTCCGGACGCGCAGGCTCAGAGGCCATGGCTCACGGGCCCAGCCGCTCTGCGGCATGTGGGATCTTCCCGGACCAGGGCACGAACCCGTGTCCCCTGCATTCGCAGGCGGACTCCCAACCACTGGGCCACCAGGGAAGCCCTTAGAAACTCTTTACACCTAACAGAATATGGCTATAGGTAGATGGGCAAGGGAGCCTGTTTCAACACAGAAAAGCAATGACAGTGTTTAAGTACAGCATTTTTATTGCTTTGTGATGACTTCTTCTCACATTATGTTGCAACCGCTTCGATTTATTATTTCTTTTTCCTTCCCACCAGGAAATAATAAGCTTTTCATGTTTGGCAGTAACAACTGGGGTCAGTTAGGATTAGGATCAAAATCGACTGTTAACAAGCCAACGTGTGTCAAAGGTTTGGGGTCTTTTCTTCTTTATCACTTTAAATACTTAAAGTGTATAAAGTACTTTTATATTGATTGTATAATTCTTTAATATATTATAAATAATAAAGTCTTTAGTTCTTTATTTTCTGAGATTTACTTGAATATTATTGGCATTTAACTTTATTTTTCATGTGATATTCAGAACTAGTTTTATATGTTAGGGTCTAAAAATCATATTGATTTTAAACCCAGAGACCACAAAGGAAGTAATGATTCTACAGTATTGCACTTGAACATCCTTTTTTTTTTTTTGGCCTGTTTGTAAACCAACTTAAATATTACTGTTACTGTATATACAGAGAACAAACAATATGATATGTTAGGATTTCGAGCTCTGTCTCATTTGTTCGAGTTGTGGACATTATGGTTCTGTTGGTTTTATAAAACACACTTTACCCCGCTGTGTATAGTTAGCAGCTGTGCTGAAGAAAATATTAGAACTAGGAGTTGATTAGTACTAGTGTTCTTACAAGAACAACAGGACAAAATATTTCAAATCAGGATTGTCCCAGAAAATATGAGACATATTACATCTTTACAAAGCTTTCTCGCCATTATGTGCAAAAGCTTCTGTTTGGTTATAGCCTATGAACATCAGCTATACTTGAATGGTGATGGAGATTCCTTGGGATATGACAAGAGCAGGATTCTTTATCTTTGTAGCCAGATTTTTAATTTCAGCTCAAAATTTCAGTGTAATTTATCATATGCATGCTATTTATAGATATTGCTGTGGAACTGTTGAAGTATTCCACTCGGTCAAAAAGTATTTACTGAGCACAGTCTACTAAACCCTTGGGTTTATTTACAGTGCCTATGATCCTTACTCTCAAATATCTAATCAAGCTAACAGGATTGTCTAGACTATGAGATCCTTGAGACCAGGGACTCTGTCTTAGTGATCTTTGTAGCCCCTGTGCTAAGAGCTTAGGAGATGTTCTGTAAAAGTTTTTAATATGTAAATGAATGAATGAAGAACTTTAACATAGGTGTATGCCTATGAATATTGGACTTAGTGTTTTGTTGCGGCAGGTAGAAAGTAAGCTTGATGATGGTGATGGCAGATTAGGGACTAGATCAGGTTGGTGAAGAGGCAACAAAACAATGCAGTGGATCTCAGCACATGTTAATTACTTGTGGAGTTTTAAATAATATATAGATGCCTAGGCTTTACCTCAAGCCTACTGACTCAGATTCTCCAGGGGTGGGGCTGAGCTATTTGTATTTTTTTCAAAGCACCATTGGTTACTATGATGCACAAGTCCTTGCAAAAACTTTTGATTTATTAGTTATGAACATTGACTTTGGAGTCAGACAAGCCTGGGTTTAAATCTGTGCTACCACTTGGTTATCATTTGACCTGGATTATTTGTCATTTCCATAATCATAAAATATCTTGTCATATTTTTATATTTTTAGCTTTAAAGCTGGAAAAAATGAAATTTGCTGCCTGTGGAAGGAACCACACCCTAGTTTCAACAGGTATAGTATTCAATCTGTATGACTTCCTGCCCAATTTGAGGACTGAGGTCTCACTCCTGTAACATTTGTGACTTTGTAAAATTAATAGAAATGGTAACTTGGCAACAGTAAGATTAGGATTTTTAAAAAATGTAAATGGTTAGTACACTTGTTTGCCTATGAAAATATGCAGATAAATGTTAAGTGACTGAAGAAAAAGCTTGTTCTCTTGGATTATGTCAAGGGACAGCATCTCCTTACCTGTGTGCACACCTCAGGGGCCGCTTGCTCCTGATCTTGCTCTTCCCTCTTCTTTTCTGAGGGTGAGTGGAAGCCCTCCCCAAAAGACTATTGATATGAGTTAGCACAATTCCAATCAAAATCCAAACAGGGTGTGTGTGTGTGTGTGTAGAAATTCACAAGGTGGTTCTAAAGTTTATATGGAAAAGCAAAGGACCTAGAATAGCCAAAAGAATTTTGAAAAGACCAAAATTGGAGGACTAGCACTACCTGATTTCAAGACCTACTGTAAAGCTACAGCGATCAAGACAGTGTGCTAGCAGTGAAAAGACAGACAGAGATGAATGGAACAGAATAGAATCCAGAAATAGACCCACATGTTTATGCCCAAGTAATATTTGACAAAGGTGCCAAGGCAGTTCAGTGGAGAAAAGGTAGTCTTCAGCAATCCTGCTGGAACAATTAGACATCCAGGCCCTGACCACCGAGCAGTCTTTCCTACTTCCTTTCCCACAAACACAGCTTCTTCTGTCTTCAGGCTGTTCTCACTGCTTCGGCCCCTGCCTCGCCTCTCTGCCCTCACTCATACTTTTCCTTTGCTGAAATGTCTTTTCTCTTTCTCTTACTTAGATTCTTGTCTCTTAAGATCCAGTATAAGTCTTACTTCATCCATGGACTCAGATTCTTGTCTCTTAAGATCCAGTATAAGTCTTACTTCATCCATGGAGCTTTTTGTGACTATTCAACTTTTTCCTTATGTCATTCTCTGAACCGCTTCAGCATACCACCAACTCTGGTTTGTTCCATATGTGTTAAATTGTGTGGTTCAATTCCATGTGGCCTTGTAGTATCTTCCATTTGAAACCTAGTCTTATTTCCTCAATTAGGTTTCATTTTTTCTAAAATAATATCTAGTTTTAAATTTTTACTGATTCAGAATGATTTTGTCCTAAGTTTCCCCTGTAATTTAGTGAGGCTTTAATTCCATGTGCATTTTTATGACAGATATAACTAATTTTAATAAGTATATCTTTTTTAAAATAAATTTATTTATTTATTTTTGGCTGGTTGGGTCTTTGTTGATGCGCGTGGGCTTCCTCTAGTTGCGGCAAGCGGGGGCTACTCTTTGTTGCGGTGCGCGGGCTTCTCATTGCGGTGGCTTCTCTTGTTGCGGAGCATGGGCTCTAGGCATGTGGGCTTCAGTAGTTGTGGCACACAGCCTCAGTAATTGTGGCTCTCGGGCTCAGCAGTTGTGGCTCGCGGGCTCAGTGTTGTGACACACAGGCTTAGTTGCTCCACAGCATGTGGGATCTTCCTGGACCAGGGCTCGAACCCCTGTCCCCTGCATTGGCAGGCAGATTCTTAACCACTGCACCACCAGGGAAGTCCCAATAAGTATATCTTTATGTGTCATTACTTTAGAGCTTACTGGCAATGTTTATTATCTAGGAATGATATATTTCTTAATGTGATTAAGAAAATTGTTAACATTTATATAGTTCTTACCATGTGCCAAGTGCCATTCTAAGAATTTTATAAATGTTAACTCATTTAATCTTCATAACACCTCTATGGAGTAGGCACTATTATTATCCCATTTTACAGATGAGGAAAATGAGACACTGAGAGGTTAAGCATAGCTTGCCCAAGGTTACACAACTGATAAGTGGCAAGCCAGAATTTGCACCCAGGAAGTCTGATTCTGGTGTCCTCTCTCCTAGACACAATGCTATACTGGCTTTCTATTTAGCTAGAAAATTAAAATAATTACACAACATAGAATTTTCACGTTTCTAATTATATTCTTCTTGTATTTGCCTCATTTTACTTATTTGTTATCTATTATGTCTTAGCTTTAATGGGTATGGAAGGTAAAATTAATGAACCACATCTCTTAAAATAGTTTGATTTGGATTATAATCTAATTTGGAAATTACTTTCCTCTTTTTCACTCTGAGTTAATAGTTCTGCATTAGCAAGAAAATGCATTCCACACATTCTGTGCATTTCAGTTGCTACTTAAACTCTAGAACGATTTATAAAATCTCACAAAAATGTGGAGCCTTGCTTGTTTTGCTGTATTTTTGACGCCTAAATGAAGTTGTTCACCAAATTGTAGGATAATGCCAGCTTTCAGCTTTCTTCACTGGTAATAGAGGAACTGTCTGATATACACTGGTCTGCCTCATAAAGATGGTGACTATGGTATACTGATGTTTTCTTTTCTGTGTGCAGAAGGAGGCAAAGTATACGCCGCTGGAGGAAATACTGAAGGACAGCTGGGACTTGGTGATACTGAAGAGAGAAACACTTTTCATCTAATTAGTTTTTTTACATCCCAGCATAAGATTAAACAACTCTCTGCTGGGTCTAACACTTCAGCTGCGCTGACTGGTAAGACTTTTTTCCACTTCAAACTGGGACACATCCCTTTTTTTTAGACCAGAATATACCAAGTCAGTAAACTGAAGACAGCAATGCTGTTTAGTTTTCTTTCATTGACCATGTGTTTTCAGAAGACATTTAAAATAGAACTTAAAATCATGACATATACTACAACTTTATGCTTACAGACGTTTAGAAGGTAATTGTTAAATAAATTCGAAGCTGTGCTATCCATCTGTTCCTTTAGATATTCTTAAACATTATCTTCATTGTGTGTTCTGAAAGTTATATTTCAGCTTTAATGAAGTTGCTGTCAGAAACATCCTAGAAATCTGTTGGATATATGTTATTAAAATACAGTTTGTAGGGCTTCCCTGGTGGCGCAGTGGTTGAGAGTCCGCCTGCCGATGCAGGGCACATGGGTTTGTGCCCCGGTCCGGGAAGATCCCACGTGCCGCGGAGCGGCTGGGCCCGTGAGCCATGGCCGCTGAGCCTGCGCGTCTGGAGCCTGTGCTCTGCAACGGGAGAGGCCACAACAGTGAGAGGCCTGCATACCGCAAAAAAAAAAAAAAAAAAAAAAAAATAGTTTGTAATGGTCATTGCATCTCTCTGCCCTCCCTATCAAAAGCCCATACGAGAAATTTCTTTAAAATTTGGAGCCGAGATAAACGTGTCTCACTGAAGAAGCTGCTGGTGTGCTGCTTCATTCCAGTCCGGAGAGCTGTGTAACGTGCAGTGTTAGAGAAAGCCTGCGCGCAGCAATGAAGACCAAACGCAGCCAAAAAAAAATTGTTTTTTAAAGAAATTGTAATAAGTAGCTACCTGGTATAAATATCTTAGTAGTACTTTTCTTTCAAGATACATAATTTTTCTAAATTAAAAAATAAATGCTCTGTTGGAAGTATAATAACTTGCCATCCCTGCTACCTCTTAAAACCTTTTTTCCTCTTTGTGTTTTCTTTATAGAGGATGGAGAGCTTTTCATGTGGGGTGACAATTCTGAGGGGCAAATTGGTTTACAAAATATAACTAGTATATGTGTCCCTCATCAAGTGACCATTGGAAAACCTATCTCCTGGATCTCTTGTGGATATTACCATTCAGCTTTTGTAACAAGTAAGACAGAACAGTTTGGATTTCTCATGTTATCTCCCATTTCTAAGTTATTACTAAATAATAAAATGTCATAACATTCTACATTTCTATAGAAATATTGTCATGGTACTACATGTAATGAAATAATTTTGGTCTGTTTTAGGTCACAGTATTTCTTCATTTCAGTAATGAGTATAATTTCAAACTATCTGACGTGTTAACTTTTTTTTAATATCGTTGGTACTATTTTATTTATTTCTTTAATTAATTTTTTATTTTTGTCTGTGTTGGGTCTTCGTTGATGCACACGGGCTTTCTTTAGTTGTGGTGAGCAGGGGCTACTCTTTGATGTGGTGTGCAGGCTTCTCATTGCAGTGGCTTCTCTTGTTGCGGAGCACGGGCTCTAGGGACGCGGGCTTTGGTAGCTGCGGCACGTGCGCTCAGTAGTTGCGGCTCATGGGCTCAAGAGCGCAGGCTCAGTAGTTGTGGTGCACGGGCTTAGTTGCTCCGCGGTATGTGGGATCTTCCCAGACCAGGGCTCGAACCCGTGTCCCCTGCACTGGCAGGCGGATTCTTAACCACTGTGCAACCAGGGAAGTCCCTTAACTTTTTTTTTAATGAATGTTAGGTCTATTAGGAAAACAAAATTTATGCATAAGAAACCCTTCTAAATTTTGGCTCTCAAACTTCTTAGACTCTTTGGCATTAAAAACAAGACCTGTGAGCCTTTTTTCTCTGGATCCACTTGGCTCTGTACTTTGACCTACTCTATTCTTGTCCTGATAATTCGTTCTTATTGTTTCAGTACATGAGTCATAGATTTTCATTGTAGGAATAGGGATGAAGATTAGATGAAAAAGGAAGGGAGTTCAGTATGGGATATGCTTTCCTTTGTTGGGACTTTTCTCAGGATCCCCCGTTTCTCCTTTTCCTGGGCTCACTGGCAACCTTCTCTATCTTAGTTAAAATATTTTAAATGTTGGACTCTAACTATTATAGCCTACATCTACACTGGTAGTAATACCAGAAGTATGATCATGGTTTTCCATCTTATTTATGGTTTTTCTAACAGTAAAAACACCCAGCAGAAATAGTTCTATGGACTCTCTTAGATATCTCTCTAAATATTTGTTTTATACATTTACTTCCTGTTCTGTGCACCTCAGATTCAGGTTTAGAAAGTGCTTATTGACCTATCCCAGTGCCCCCCAGGTTTACCAATGAATTGGTAGCAACTTGGTACCAAGAAAAGGCAAACTCTGACTTGGCTGGGTTTGTTCACTACTGGGTCAGTTTGTGTCTTGAAGAAACAATATTTATTCAATCAATAAATATTGTTGAATGAGGAGGTGAGTGAATGAATGATAAATTGACTGTGTCCTTGGGACAATACCACATACCAACTTATTTGCAACTCCTAGGGTTGGTATAGTCTGTACTCACTTTGTTTATGAAACAAAAAGCAGGGAAAAAAATACCCGTGCAAGAACAAATAATCAAAAGCATTGTCTTATATTTGGGCCTTAATAAAACTCCCAGAATCAATTTTTATTTACTACTGCTTTAGCCAGTAGGGAAACAAGTGGAATTATTTGTTTTAACCAATAGGCATTACATTGAACTTTTTTGTTTTGTTTTCTGTTTTTATGCCTTTTTTAAAAAGCAGCTTTATTGATGTATAGGTCACCTACCATACAATTCACCCATTTAAGGTGTGAGGAGCAGCAGGAATTTATAGACAGTAGTAGAAAGAGACTTATCTGGACTTAGTAACTCCTTTCGTATGAGAGGCAAGAAGCATGGGAAAAGGGGGAGCGTGCTGACTTACTGAGCACTTCTGTGCCAGTGTTTGCCGAATACTTCAGAGAAAACTGTGGTTCAGAAAGCTTCATTTTTTGTACAGATCAATCTAAAAAATGAGTATAGCTGTGTTTGCAGTATTTGACCAAGTTTTAAGTGGCACATACCATGTGCGTTAGATGTCATACAACTTCCCTAAGTTCTGATTTGCTAGAAGGGCTCTCAAGCTTCAGTAGCTGGTTATACTCGTGGCTTAGATTTATTACAGCAAAGGATACCGAGCAAAAGCAGCAGGAAAGATCTGTATCCTCCAGAGAGGTCCAGTATGCGCTTCCTCGTCCTTCCTATTACAAGGCCGCACAGGACATGTTTTCTCTTTGGCAGTGAACTACAGGGATGTGTGTGTAATGTCTCTGCTCAGGGAAGCCTACTCTATTCTCAGGGTCTGAGGCTTTTGTGTGGGTGGCTGGTGTCGTGTAGGCACATCCTGCTAGCAACTAGTCATGGCAACTGCAACTCGGGTCCCTCAACAGTGAAACCAGGTGCACATCATCAGTGTTGAAGTTTGTGCAAAGCAAGCCTCTCTTAGCTTCTTGCTAAGCTGGCATAATTCATTTCTCCAGGTGTACATAACAAAAACATCAATCACCAACATAAAGAACACTGCCAAGGGCCACATTCCCAGGGGTTGGTCAACAGTCAGTCAGTCATGCTTCTCTTGGAGACATGCAAATAATATGAGGTGCTGTGTTACCTCTTTCCTCATATCAGTGGTGATGCGTTCTGTGTCATAATCTTTGGATTAGATTATGTATTTACAACAGTTTTTAAATTCCTGTTTTATAGAACTCAGTTCAGTTCATAGAAATGAATAAAAAAAGTTCCTGCTTTCAAGAAGCTCATAGTATAGCGTGGGACGTGTGATAACAGAAGAAAATAAATAGTATTGGTATGGACAAGGCAGTGATTAAATGTCATGAGTTCCTTAATAAGAGAATCTTTCTGGAAAAAGTGCCATCTAACTGAGTAAAATCTGCTATCTTTAGTCTCACCATATTTACTTCACACATAAATGGGTTTTCTACAATAAGTTTCATTAAAAGCAATTATTTATTCACCAAGTATTCATTAAATGTTTAATGTACTAGACACACTGCTAAGTTCTTGCAATACCATAGTGAGCAAGACAAAATCCATGTCCTTATGGGGGTTTAATGTCAAGTCATTTTGCTTTATTGAAAGTAGGTAGAAGTAAGATCATCTTTTCTATGTATTGTGAAACAGGTAAAATAATTTTCTAGTTGTTACTAGTAGTGCTGGTCGTGAATTCTTCAGGAAGATTTTGGATTAGAATAATCAAGGGGAAGGGAAAATCTACCTTTATTTCCTTACCATTCAGTAAAAATATCTCAAGAAAGGTCAAATTTATTAAGTTGAGATTTTCTACATTTTTTTTTATCAAACGTGAGAACATGTACCAAAAATACCGGTATTTGTTCATGTCTATGTCATCATCGATCACTGTCCTTTTCCTTCAATAGCGGAGGGAGAACTGTACACCTTTGGAGAACCTGAGTATGGGAAGTTAGGTCTTCCCGAAAAGCTGCTGATCAATCACAGAGTGCCCCAGCTGGTGCCTGGAATTCCTCAGAAGGTGATCCAAGTAGCTTGTGGTGGAGGGCACACAGTTGCGCTCACAGGTAAGTGTGCAGCTCCGTTCCCTGCTTTCTTTGGTAGCTAATGAAAAAAGCTTTTTTTACATTCATTTATTTTTATTGTGGTAGGAACACTTAACATCTGATCCGTCCTCTTAACAGATTTTTAAGTTTACAATACAGTATTGTTATCTATAGGCACAATGTTGTATGGCAGGTCTCTAGAACTTTTACCTTTGCATAGCTGAAACCTTATACCCATTCATTAGCAGCTCCCCTCTCCCCCTACCCCAGCCCCTGGCAACCACCATTCAAGTCTCTGCTTCGATGAATTTGACTGTCTTAGATACTTCATGTAAGTTGGCTTTGCATCTTTTTCCATTAAGAACCCCACCTTTTGTTCCTATAGTTAATAAACATTTCTGGCCTGTGGAAGAAATTTTTAAGTAGAAAAAAATGAATCTTGTTGAATTATTTTTGCTAGCATAATTGACATTTTCATGATCTTAACACGTTTAATGGCAGCAAATAACGTTTTTTAGCTCATTTTCAAGAACAAATTGTTTTCCTCATATATATGTATTCCATATTTATTTAAAATTGACATTTTTTCTGAAATACCTTATTTTGGAGAAGCTCCCTGCTAATACTGTTTTCTACTTGTCATTGATAATCCTTTTTGATATTCACAATGTCTAACTTGGTGATTTCTTTGTGATTTTTATGTTCTGTTATAGTAATTCATTGAAGTGTTAAGATTTTAAATTACAGATAATAAAAAAAGTTAGAACTTGAATAGTAATGTCACTTTTGGCTTCTGAACTTTGTATTTGGTATGACATGTGACTTCTCAGGATTCTAGTCAGGATAATTAAAATAGACTTACTACTTGTTAATATGCTTACTAAATTGATGCTCTCAAATTTGTTTAGCATTAGATTTATTTTAGATGAGTAGTATAGAGGTAATGCAGTTAGGTAGTGAATGGTTATGATATATTTTGGTCAAAAAGAAATATACAGTTTCTGAAGTCACCACTTAATCTTCAGTAACCCAAAGCTAGAAGTGTTCTAGACAAATTTTAAGTAATACCCAGTTCCCAGATGATAATGCTTAAATGTTGCAAGGTGATTAAGCAATATTTTATCTTTAGATCTTCCTCTCTTACATCACTTTTCCTTGACTTCCTATTCTAGTCCCAGTCACGTGTATAAAGCTATGGTTTCCCAGAATTACAATTTCCAGATGGAATCTTTTCAAAGTGAGAAATAATTTTTTTCCAGGCCTCAACTCTAAATTTGGAAATAATTCTGAGGTTTAAGTTTTTTTTTAAACTTCTTCTGATAAAGTGAATTTTCATATAATTTCTAAAAGACTTATGTTAGGAATTAAACTTCAAAATTAATCTTTATAAATTATCTGAAAATTTATTCTATAGGCAGAAATGCAACTTATTCTTCATGTGTTATGTTATATGCTAAGGCAGGGGCCAGGGAGAGTCGTGTGTCTAAAGGACGCTTTCATCACCACTCGTTTATCCTATTTTTGTGCTTTTCTATTTCTCAAGACTATGTGAGCCAATATTTACTGTTATTGGAGTTCCTTTGGAATCACTTCAAAAATATTAATATAATATAGTATGGATAAACAACAAGGTCCTACTGTATAGCACAGGGAACTATATTCAGTATCCTGTGACAAACCATAATGGAAAAGAATATGACAAAGAATGTATATATATGTATAACTGAGTCACTTTGCTATACAGAGGAAAATAACACAACATTGTCAATCAACTATACTTCAATAAAATTAAAAATTTTAATATAGAGGAAAGGCTTTTCCCCTCCTTTGATTATTATTGCATTTCCTAGTAAATGAGCTTTACCTGTGAATAAATCTAGCATGTCTGATGTAAGTTTTCATTCTCATGCTAATTCTCCTCTGAAATTGTTTTCTAAAATAGGTTATTCCATTAAATTACTGTTAATAAGTAAGGACGTTTTCTGTGGGAAACACTATTCGTTTAGTTAGGGCAGTGAAAGGAATTGGCTTAATGACAATTGATGCTTTTTAACAAACTGAGTGGTAATTATAGGGACTTTTTAGGTAGTAGTTCACGACTTTTGTGTCTTTAGCAATTCCTTTTATGGTTATATGTAAAAGATAAATTCAGGCCCATGCCATTATTGTTACAATTGTGTACCTTGTCATTTTTCCCTTCCTTTATCACTGAGGAATGTATATGTAAGTATTAGGTATTCTTATATGAGTATTTCTTTGAGAGGCCCTTAATCCTCATTATAAAAGGTGGAATAGCACTGTTTTTCTAGATATAATGGTGACAGTGCCTGTACCTCTGAAATCCTTTTCTTGTGTTTGCCCCTCCCCTTTCAGAGAAGGCCGTGTACACCTTTGGGCTGGGACAGTTTGGTCAACTGGGTCTTGGCACTTTTATTTTTGAAACTTCAGAACCCAAAGCCGTTGAGAATATTAAGGATAAGAAAATAAGTTATGTTTGCTGTGGAGAAAACCACACAGCTTTGATAACAGGTACAGATCAGAATTTCTGTTAATATACTTATGGAACTGGGTATATTTTATTACAAAATAAACACTATATGGAATGAATGTATCTAACTTAAGCAAAGGAAATAATAACTGAGAAAATGGAATTCTTTGTTTAATATGCCAACGTGTAAAGTTGTAAACTCCTTTTTCATATTTTAGTTTAATTTAAAATCAGTGTAAATGATCCAAAGGTTTAGAGCCTCAAAATGTGTCAATGCTCTCAGAGGTAAGACCATAGCATTATACTGTGGCAGAAGTATAAAAAGTAAAAAGCTGGAATCTTTTTGAAATTGTATCAATTTGAAGGCTCTGAACTCTGCTCAGGCCAAGGGAAAAGTCTCGTAAGAAAGAACTTATTTTAAAATATTCTCCCTCTTCAGTCTGACAGCTACATTCAGGCTGAGTAAATTCTTATGATGCTTCTGCCACTGGGAGGCGTTTTCAGGAGTAACACTTTCATACTTTCTCCACAGTGGTAGACAGAAAGGTACCCCAAAGACTATTAATTAAATGAATACCTGGGTCCTCTAGCTCTTCTGCTCTGTAGTTTCCCCTTTATCCGGGGAGATGGTGCTATGGGTCTACTTCTCAACCTCAGAAACTAGGTGCTGCCAATGTAGGACTCAATAGAGGTACTTCCCTAAAATGACTAACTCACCTATAGATAATTAATACGGAGCTGGAGGAATCAGGCTCCCTGACTTCAGACTATACTACAAAGCTACAGTAATCAAGACAGTATAGTACTGACACAAAAATAGAAATATAGATCAATGGGACAGTATAGAAAGCCCAGAGATAAACCCACGCACACGTGGTCACCTTTTCTTTGATAAAGGAGGCAAGAATATACAGTGGAGAAAAGACAGCCTCTTCAATAAGTGGTGCTGGGAAAACTGGACAGGTACATGTAAAAGTATGAAATTAGAACACTCCCTAACACCACACACAAAAATAAACTCAAAATGGATTAAAGACCTAAATGTAAGGCCAGAAACTATCAAACTCTTAGAGGAAAACATAGGCAGAACACTCTATGACATAAATCACAGCAAGATCCTTTTTGACCCACCTCCTAGAGAAATGGAAATAAAAACAAAAATAAACAAATGGGACCTAATGAAACTTAAAAGCTTTTGCACAGCAAAGGAAACCATAAACTAGAGCAAAAGACAACCCTCAGAATGGGAGAAAATATTTGCAAATGAAGCAACTGACAAAGGATTAATCTTCAAAATTTACAAGCAGCTCATGCAGCTCAATAACTAAAAAACAAACAACCCAATCCAAAAATCGGCAGACGACCTAAATAGACATTTCTCCAAAGAAGATATCCAGATTGCCAACAAACACATGAAAGAATGCTCAACATCATTAATCATTAGAGAAATGCAAATCAAAACTACAATGAGATACTGTCTCACGCCAGTCAGAATGGCCATCAGCAAAAAATCTAGAAACAATAAATGCTGGAGAGGGTGTGGAGAAAAGGGAACCCTCTTGCACTGTTGGTGGGAATGTAAATTGATGCAGCCACTATGGAGAACAGTATGAAGTTTCCTTAAAAATCTAATAGAATTACCGTACGACCCAGCAATCCCACTACTGGGCATATACCCTGAGAAAACCATAATTCAAAAAGAGTCATGTACCAGAATGTTCATTGCAGCTGTATTTACAATAGCCAGGACATGGAAGCAACCTAAGTGTCCATCAACAGATGAATGGATAAAGATGATGTGGCACATATATACAGTGGAATATTACTCAGCCATAAAAAGAAACGAAATTGAGTTATTTGTAGTGAGGTGGATGGACCTAGAGTGTGTCATACAGAGTGAAATAAGTCAGAAAGAGAAAAACAAATACCGTATGCTAACACATATATATGGAATCTAAGGGGAAAAAAAAGGTCATGAAGAACCTAGGGGTAAGATGGGAATAAAGACACAGACCTACTAGAGAATGGACTTGAGGATATGGGGAGAGGGAAGGGTAAGCTGTGACAAAGTGAGAGAGTGGCATGGACATATATACACTACCAAACGTAAAATAGATAGCTAGTGGGAAGCAGCCGCATAGCACAGGGAGATCAGCTCAGTGCTTTGTGACCACCTAGAGGGGTGGGATAGGGAGGGTGGGAGGGAGACGCAAGAGGGAAGAGGTATGGGAATATATGTATATGTATAGCTGATTCACTTTGTTATAAAGCAGAAACTAACACACCATTGTAAAGCAATTATACTCCAATAAAGATGTTAAAAAAGAAATGAGCGTAAAGCTTCACAAATACATCAATAAATTAAAACTATTGACACATTAAATGAAAATATGTAATTTGAGAAGACTAAAAATTAAGTGAAATATATTTCATTTGAATTACAAAAAAATATATATTCTCCATAATTTTAATTACTTTGGAATAAAAGGCTCTGTAATTTCTCTATTTGTAGCTCATCATTTCTATCTAAAAAGTAAAGCATTAAAAAGTCATAAATCATATAGTATTTTGAAACAATCCAGATACTGGTATTTCTGCATTTTCCCCTTCTTTTGCAAGTTTATGCTACGATGAACCTCATCTAATGGTATATGCTTAGGGGAACTAGCACTCAGCAAATACAAGGTATTACCAAGTACTGTCCCTTCTTCCCCAAAGAACTTTGCAGAGAGAACTATCTGCCCATTTTCAAGTATCAGTGTCCTTATTAATGTTGCATGAAATTGAACTATATAGAATGTAAAGAATTACTGTTCATTCACAATCCCAGAAGAGTTGTTGATATGTATGCCTTACTGCAAGTCTTAAGCTCAGTTTCTCTGTCTTTACTGCCATTTTCCATCAACTCTAAATTGTCACTGATCGTAAATATACACTGTTTATGGATCATTTAACATACAATTAGGTTATTTGGTTAAACTTTCATAATACCTTTCCTCCTGATGAAAGAAGTTATAGCACAAATAATTGAACATTATTTGACTTTTTTGCTCATGAATCCTCCCCAGGGACAGGTGTTATGAATTTTTTCTTTGTCCAGGACTAATGAGAGATATGTAGTGAGTTTTCTGTAAGTTCTTGCCAGTTCCCCATTATAGCCAGTGGCTCGTGTTTTAAAAAGCTCTCTGAGGTTGGAAGTGTGATCAGGCAGCTTGATCAGAGTTTATTTTTTCTGGCTAAAGATAATCAGGTTTAAAAAAAAAAAACCTTAACATTTTGAATAAGAATATCAGGGTCAAAAAAGGGAGGAAGAAAGCAAAAAGATGATAAGGAGTATATATAAAGAAGGGAAATAAATACCTAATAGTAAGAATTATAACAATCTAAATTTAGAATCTAAACGCTGGTTATTGCTTATTTATAGGGAATCTATTTGTTTTTAATAATTTTTGAACTTTCCACTTTAGTGAATTTTGTTATTATTTCTAATTATTTTTTCAGGCAGTTCTCGTGGCTTTTCTTACTATACAATTACTTTGCCATCTTAAAGTACAAGTCCCCAGATATGATCTTGTCATTTCCCAGCTTAAAACCATTCATTTAGCTTATTATTGTTCTTAATATAGAGTTCAAAAATGCTTAATATGAGCTAATAAGATCCTCTTTCGTGTGATTCCTTCTTCCCTCTTCAGGATCATCTCATACCACTCTCACCTTTGTGCTCCAGACACATTGGTTGCCTTTTGGCTTCTTGACTGGGCTGTGTTTTCTCTTGATTCACAGCCTTTGTATGTACTGCTGGCCTCTGCCTGGAAGATTCTTTGCTCCCTTCTTCTTGTAACTAAACCCTAATCCTTTCAGCTTCAGTTTAAAAGCCTTTCCTAATCTCCAGACTGGAGGGAGAGCCCCTCCTCTGCACCTATACTGGCACCCTTTCCTTTCTTTCTGCTTCCATGGCACTTGCCTCACTTGAGATGGAGAGTATGAAAGAAAGGCTTGAGGAGTGAATGTACAGAATACCTGCTATGGCAGTGGGCAAAAGGATTAACTGGAGAGAAGGGACAAAATTACTCATCATCATCTTGGCCCAGCTATATAGGGGACCCCAGTATTGATATAGGGACCAGCAGCTTGGTTGGTTTATGGCATTTCCTTCGGCAGCTTTCCACAACCCTGAGGCAGAAGTAAAAGAGACAGTTGGATTGATCGAAACTAGTGGTGATTTTGTCTCCACAGGGGACACATGGCAATGTCTGGAGATGTTTTTGATTGTCACAACTGCAGAGGCAGGGTATTCTATGGGCATTTAGTAGGTAGAAGCCAAGGATGCTGCTAAACATCCCATAATGCACAGGACAGACCCATACAACCAAGAATTATCTGGCCTCAAATTTCTGTAGTGCCGAGGTTGAAAAACCCTGACCTAATCAATGACCTGAGGAAAAAAGAAAATAGATTGTATTCGGATGTAGGAGGTCAGAATACAAAAATCTCCTTCTTGAGATGATGGTGTGTATCACAAGATCTTATGCTGGGTTGCTGCTGCTCCACACAGCACCTCACACACCTGGGTCTCAACTTCACAAGCCACCAAGAGCTTAGTGATTTATTCTCGGGGTATCTATTGCCTCATGTTATGTGTGGACAACAGAAACCATAGAGAGTGTGGAAACATCAGTGGAGCAGAGTAAATTTAATGCAGAATATGAGGGGAAAATTGCAATGTAAGTTAATGTATTTGTCTATTTACAAATAGATCCATGAAAGTAACACTTTTATAATTCTCTCTTTTTTTCATTTTAGATTTAGGCCTTATGTATACTTTTGGAGACAGTCGACATGGAAAATTAGGACTTGGACTGGAGAGTTTTGCCAACCTGTTCGTTCCTACTTTGTGTTCTAATTTTTTGAAGTTTATAGTACAGTTGGTAAGGACATCACATTTCCCTGTTTACATGTTCATATTCCTATATTTGAGTCTTTCAGTATTTCATAGAAAATAAGTACTTTTCTGTTTATATGAAATATCATAGCTATATCTAGTAAATATACTTGTGTCCTAAAGGCCAAATGTCAGACATCATGGCACTCTGAAAATCTGCCCGTTTTCTAATGTTCCTCCTCTGACATCTTCCTTTCTGCCCTAATCTTGACTCTTCTACTTCATTTTCATATGTCTCTTGAGAGCCAGGACTGTGCCATGCCTGGAAGCTTTGTGTTTCCTGTAGCTCCCAGCAGAGTGCCTCACTCACAGTGGTCATCTGTAAATATTTGCTGGATTAGATATCACTAGGACTCTCAAATCCTGCACAAGAAAAATATCTGATAATAAATGAAGGGTTTTGAAATTATATTTAATTGGTTAAGTGTTATTTGGATAAGGTGTTGTTTTCAGTGATATCTCCATCAGGCACTGTATCTCTGTTGTTTCTAACACTTTTGCCAATTAAGAACTATAGACTTGAAAATTTTGTTTACTCAGTGATGATAATATTACTTGGAATTTGTTCTCCAAAGGCTCAGAGCCTCGTACTGTGGAACACTTGCATTCCTTGATTTGACACCTGTTTAATGAATGCCTGCTTGGTACAAGATACTGGACTGAGGATGAGGAATACAGAGCATGCAGTGATGAACACAGTGACCAGATTTTCATTGACTAAGCTTATCATCTTATGGGGAAGATGGTTTTCTGTTTTGTTTTGTTTTGTTTTTTGTTTTTTGCGGTACGCGGGCCTCTCACTGTTGTGGCCTCTCCCGTTGCGGAGCACAGGCTCCAGACGCGCAGGCTCAGCGGCCATGGCTCACGGGCCCAGGCGCTCCGCGGCATGTGGGATCTTCCCGGACCGGGGCACGAACCCGTGTCCCCTGCATCGGCAGGCGGACTCAACCACTGCACCACCAGGGAAGCCCGGGAAGATGGTTTTTAAAAGGTGCTATACAGAAAACATATCAATTTTAACTTTGAACATACGAAGGGAAAGGTTCAGAGTATGCTCTTCTATGTCATGTAGAACACTATGAAGACACCAGAAGTCTGTGTATTGCAAACACAATGTTTTTTAAAGCATTTTATTGAAAATTAGTTATTTCTCAAAATCGTTTGGATGCTCATTTCCTTTTTCATTGTTCTATCATTGTGCATGCTTGCGTTTTGCTCTCAGGACTTTTAAGCATTAAACTTAAAAAATCTTCATGTATAAAGACATAATTATCCCAAGAGACTGATTTATTCTTGGGTCCCTTCTTTCCAAGTAGAACTTGTCTGAGTAATTTTTTCAAGTTGTTAGTGTTGCTCCAAGATTAAAATAGCATTTTCTAACTTGTAAAGAGAAATATAATGTGCCAAATAGGTTTTTTTCTCTATACTGTATATTCAGTTGAAAGTAAAATGGTATGTTAAACTTGTTCTAGTTTTCAATAATAGTGTTTAAAGAATATATATTGTAAGGGCTTCCCTGGTGGTGCAGTGGTTAAGAATCTGCCTGCCAATGCAGGGGACACAGGTTCGAGCCCTGGTCCAGGAAGATCCCACATGCTGTGGAGCAGCTAAGCCCATACGCCACAACTACTGAGACTGCGCTCTAGAGCCCATGAGCCACAACTACTAAGCCTGCGTGCCACAACTACTGAAGCCTGTGCACCTAGAGCCCGTGCTCGACAACAAGAGAAGCCACCACAATGGGAAGACCACACACTGCAATGAAGAATAGCCCCCGCTCGCCGCAACTAGAGAAAGCCTGTGTGCAACAATGAAGACCCAATGCAGCCAAAAATAAATAAATAAAATAAATTTTTTTAAAAAAGAATATATTGTAATTCGTGTGTGTGTGTGTGTTTGTGTGTGTGTGTGTGTGTGTGTGTGTGGAGAGAGAGAGAGATTTCAGTCAGTCAGTCTAGGAAGTCTACCGCTAAGTTAATGTTTTGTAGCTGAAAACTGTTAAAAACCCATTTGTGGGGCTTCCCTGGTGGTGCTGTGGTTGAGAATCAGCCTGCCAATGCAGGGGACATGGGTTCGAGCCCTGGTCCGGGAAGATCCCACATGCCACGGAGCAGCTAAGCCCGTGCGCCATGACTACTGAGCCTGCGCTCTAGAGCCCACGTGACACAACTACTGAAGCCCGCGCGCCTAGAGCCAGTGCTCTGCAACAAGAGAAGCCACCGCAATGAGAAGCCTGTGCACCGCAACAAAGAGTAGCCCCCGCTCGCCACAACTAGAGAGAAGCCGGCACACAGCAACGAAGACCCAACGCAGCCAAAAATAAAAATAAATTAAAAAACAAAACAAACCCATTTGTGTTTGAAGCCAGTGTCAATTAATTTATCTGTGAATTTATGCTGCAGGTTGCTTGCGGTGGATGTCACATGCTAGTTTTTGCCACTCCACGACTTGATGTGGCAGAAGACGTTGAGTTAGATGAAATAAATGATTGTTGCTTACCTTCAGCTACATCTCTGCCCATCAGTGATCTGACTTCAGGAAACGTACTGCAGAGATCTTTATCAGCACGTGTGCGGCGAAGAGAGAGGGTACAGTTGTGGCCTATTCTATATAATAATGTTGTCTAGCACTGTAAAGAAAACAAATTTTTTTTCTTTTTAAACCAAAGAAGGGTCTTCTTAGGTAAATTTACTAAATAAAATGATTAGAATTGAGGGCTTACAAACTTTTAAAGCAAACTCAGAATTAAACTGGTAAATATACAAACTAGAAAATTGAAATGATCATGGATAACCTTTGCTTGTAGACAGTGGTATTACCGCTATCTTATCACCTCAGATAGAATGCTAAGTTGTTTTCTCAACCATCTGTGGATTGACTTCTACTTTGCTTTTATCTTGTAAAGCTAATACCTCATGAGCAATGAAAGGTTATATATATATTATAACTAATGAAAGGTAGAAAACAAAGAAATAAGGGCTTTATTTGAGAGAGGGAATGTTCTTTCTCAATTAAATTTAGAGATTCTCATTCTGTGCTTTAAAATTATTCAATGAAAAAAAAATAAAATAAAATAAAATTATTCAATGACACTTACATTTAAAAAAAATAAAATGCCAAATGATTTTTAGAGACATTCCTTTTTTAAAAAAAATGCTTTAAGTTCCAAAATGTATTCCTTTAGTGGTAAAAAAAAAAAGTTAAGTTTCATTTTCCTTATGAAAAAGTATATATGGAAAAATTGAGAAATATCCCATAAGTATTTTGTAGTTGTTGTTGGTTTGTGTCTCCTGAGTAACTTTTTTTTTCCGGGAAGGCAGAGCAAACACACACTTTTCCCCATCTTGTGAAAAACAGACTTCCAAATTGACAATTTAGAGCAACTTAGATACAGAGGCAACAAAACAAAACATTTTTGAGCCCTTGGGGATTATTAAAAAGTGAATGTTGTAGGACGTTGGCCAACTTTGAAGTCTCTCTCTTCAATATTTTTAGCAACCTCAGGGTGGTTTATATCAATATTAAGTATATAACATTATCTAACAGTTTATTTAACCTGTTTGTTTTAAAGGAGAAATCCCCAGACTGTATTCAAACGACAGGAACACTACCTCCAATTGCAGGGACTCTCGTACCACCTGTTTGTTTTTCGCCTCATTCAGTTCCTTTCTGTATGTCTACAACTAATCTGCTAGAGAAAAGGATGCCTGATAAAGAGGGCCCTATGCTGCCAATGGAACCAGGTAACAGTTGATGCTCTGCCTTCTCTCAGAAGAAATGTACCATTTACTCCATTGTTTTCATGTTCATCTTAAGCTGTTTTCTCTAACTAAATTGCTTTCTTCCTAGTTAGAGACTGACATCTCTCATGTGAACTCAAATCCAAGAATACTCTTACTAATAGAAAGCATCTTTGGTGACCTTAAAAATCCCATGTAATGACAGCAGCATATTTTTATAAAGCAGTGTATAACATGCATATCACCTTCTCTTACAATATCTTCTTTAAACCCAGAAGCAACTCCATGAAATAGGTGGGAGTTATATTCTTCATTTTTGTATATGAGAAAAGCAAGGCTTGAAGAGATTGAGTGACTCAGGTCACTCAGTTTTATAAGTGAACAGGATTTGAATGCAGGTCTTGTAGACCTATGTGAAGTTCTGCCCTTAGGCAATATAGCATTGTGGTTAAGAGCATGGGATGTAGAGTCAAATTGATCTGGGATCCGATGCCAGCTTTCACATTTATTAACTATGTGACTGGCTTTGGGAAAGTTACTTAATTTCTCTACACCTCAGTTTCCATATCTTTGAAATAACTTTAATAATACCTACTTTAGAGAGTTCATGACAGTTAAATGAGATAAGGCATATAAAATACTTAGCATTGAGCCTAGCACCCCCAGAAACCTCTTCATAAATATAGGCATAGTTATTATTAACCCCACTGCCTACTAGATACAGATTTCATGTTTTAAATTGTAATTCCAGCTCTTTAGCCATTATACACCTCTTCTAAATAGTTTTGTTTACAGACATTTGTGTATCTTAGGAGTGTGTTTATGTTACTACAGGGCATGTACTCAGATGATAGGGGCAGAACAAGAAACTAGGGTAGGAAATCAGAGTAAGCAGTAGGTTTGGAATTAAGAAGAAAATCTGGGCATCTGGATTAAGAACTGTGGCACAGATAATTTTAGTATCTTTGGGCTCAGGAACCTAGATAAAAGGTTGAGGTAACAAAGGATCAGGAACTCAGTCAAGAATTGTGGGCCATGGGAATGGAATGTTGTCTACATCTAAGACCTTGATAATGAGCTGGGTTTCCTACATCTCACCCACAAATTCTGTATGTTTCCTTTGGAGATAGGAATCACTGGTGCTCTTCATCCCTGTACATGGGAAAAGTAGATTCTGGCAACAGTGTGTGCAAGGAAAAGAGAAGTTTATGGTTTGGGACAAGTTGTTTCCCACTTCAAGAGATTTGAATGTGAAGATAGAACTTTGTAGCTAGAGCAAAAGGAAAAGCCATCCCATATCTTTTTGTGACTGTTTGCTAAAACCAACTTAATAAAAATATTTTGAAAGTTGTATCCAACATATAATGTGACTTTTTATAAATTATTTGCAGGCTTCAGTATTTCTCATGGAGTGAAGGAGGTCAGGTAAGACATGACTGAGGAAGTGACATTTAAGCTAAAACATAAAGGATAAAAAGTAGCCACACAAAGAGAGATGTGTATATTACAGGCAAAGAAAATAATGTAGGTAAAGGTTTGGAAGCAGTTTATAGGAAAAGGAAAGAAGATCACTGGGCTCAGAGTGAGGGAAAAGGCAGGACAAGATGATGTTGGAAAAAGAGACAGCAGAAAAATATCCATGGGTTTATAGGCCATGAGAGGCCTATTTGATTTGAGTGTTTCTCTTAAGTGTAATAGAAAGTCATTAAAGGGTTTTAACTAGTGGAGTGATGTGCTCCAGTGCCATTTATATTTTAAGATGATCACTTTTGCCGGTGTGTGGATGTAGGGGTGCCAGACTAGAGGTAGGAAGAATACTTAAGAGCCTTTTGCAAGAGATGATGGTGTTTGCAGATTTGAAATACATTTTAGTCATAGAAACAACTGAACTTGCTCGTTAATGGGTCACACATAGATGTGTAGGCAGGAGGATGGTCGACCGCTTTGAGAAAAAAAATTAAAAATTGAGCTTGAGATACCTGTGAGACATCCAAGCAGAAATATCAAGCAGGCAGTTGAAAATGAAAGAATAACATTCAGAAGATAGGTGTGGACTAGAGACAGAAATTTGAAAAACGTCAACATAGAGATGGTATTGATAATCCATGGAAGTTGGTGAAATCACCTATTAGAGAGTAGAGTAGCAAGAAAAGAGGGCCCAGGATTTAGCCCTGAGAATGTCTAACACTTAGAGGGGAGGAGAGGAAGAGCCCACAAAACCACCTTCCCCAGCCTCATCAGCCAGTAGGGTAGGAGGAGGGACATGAGGAGGGAGTAGGGTCATGAATTCAAAGTACCGCTCAAAGGTCAAGGAAAAGGAGTTCAAAGAAGCATCCATGGATTAAGCATCATGGAGATTTTTGGTGATCCTGACAAGAGCAGTTCCAGGGAAAGATCAGGACAGAAGGCAGCGTGTTAAAAGTTGAGGCATGAAGGGGAAATGAGGACGTGAAGAGGAGATAGAGTGTGTAGATAGTTCTTTTGCCTATTTTGGTCCTGAAGAGGAGCAGAGAAATGGGCTGGCAGGAGAGGGAGATGTGGAGTCAATGGGAAATACTAGAGCATGCTTGTGTGCTAATGCAGGGGTCCCCAAACCCTGGGCCACGGACTGATTCAGGTCTGCAGCCTGTTAGGAACCAGGCCTCACAGCACAGCAGGAGGTGAGCGGCAGACGGCGGGCAAGCAAACAAGCTAGCAAAGCTTCATCTGCTGCTCCCCATCCCTCGCATTACCACCTGAACCATCCCCCCACCCCCGGCCCGTGGAAAACCTGTCTTCCACAAAACCGGTCCCTGGTGCCAGAAAGGTTGAGGACCTTGGGGACCGCTGTGCCTAATGGACATGAGCCAGTAGTCCCAGAGAGATTGGTAGCACACGAGAGAGAGGATATGACCAAAGGTGCAAAGCTCTTGAGAAGACAGGAGGGGCTGGCATACAGAGCAGTCTTTGTTAAGAGGAAAGACACATCCTACATTTTAACAGGAAAATGTAGGTGAATTTGTACATTTGTTGGTGAGAAGATAAAGCAGATCACCTCTGACGACTTCTATTTTCTCAGTCAAGTATAAGGCCAAGACCATGAGCTTAAATGATATACTATCTATTTTCCAAACCTCCTTTTTCTGCCATCTCCAATCTCTCCTGCTTAGTACTTTTCTATTTTAATCTCCTTCAGGTGCACTTTAGTTCCCATCTGCTCCAGTGTCTTCAGAGGATACCTAATATTTTTTTTAAATAAATGTAAATTTCCCCATGTAACTCCCACCTGCTTTTCTAGCTTCATCTCTCAGCAGCCTTTTTCTTATAACCTTCATTTAGGTCTTGAGTCTGCAGGCTGTGGCCCATGGGTCAAATCTGGCCAGCAACCGGTTTTTTGGGTTTTTTTTAATGTCTTTACTGGAGTATAATTGCTTTACATTGTTTTGTTAGTTTCTGCTATATAACAAAGTGAATCAGCTCTACGTATACTAATATCCCCATATCCCCTCCCTCTTACATCTCCCTCCCACCCTCCCTATCCAACTCCTCTAGGTGGTCACAGAGCACCGAGCTGATCTCCGTATGCTATGCGGCTGCTTCCCACTAGCTATCTATTTTACATCTGGTAGTGTATATATGTCTGTGCCACTCTCTCACTTCGTCCCAGCTAACCCTTCCCCATCCCCGTGTCCTCAAGTCCATTTTCTACGTCTGCATCTTTATTCCTGTCCTGCCCCTAGGTTCTTCAGAAACTTTTTTTTTTTAGATTCCATATATATGTATTAGCATACGATATTTGTTTTTCTCTTTCTGACTTACTTCACTCTGTATGACAGCCTCTAGGTCCATCCACCTCACTACAAATAACTCAATTTCGTTTCTTTATATGACTGAGTAACATTCCATTGTATATATGTGCCACGTCTTCTTTATCCATTCATCTGTCGATGGACACTTAGGTTGTTTCCATGTCCTGGCTATTGTAAATACAGCTGCAATGAGCATTGTGGTACATGACTCTGAATTATGGTTTTCTCAGGGTATATGCCCAGTAGTGGGATTGCTGGGTCGTATGGTAATTCTATTTTTAGTTTTTTAAGGAACCTCCATACTGTTTTCCATAGTGGCTGTATCAGTTTACATTCCCACCAACAGTGCGAGAGGGTTCCCTTTTCTCCACACCCTCTGCAGCATTTATTGTTTGTAGAACATTTGATAATGGCCATTCTGACAGGTGTGAGGTGATACCTCATTGTAGTTTTGATTTGCATTTCTCTAATGATTAATGATGTTGAGCATCCTTTCATGGGTTAGTTGGCAATCTGGGTATCTTCTTTGGAGAAATGTCTATTTAGGTCTTCTGCCCATTTTTGGATTGGGTTGTTTCTTGTTTTGTTATCGAGCTGCATGAGCTGCTTGTAAATTTTGAAGATTAATCCTTTGTCAGTTGCTTCATTTGCAAATATTTTCTCCCATTCTGAGGGTTGTCTTTTGCTCTAGTTTATGGTTTCCTTTGCTGTGCAAAAGCTTTTAGGTTTCATTAGGTCCCATTTGTTTATTTTTGTTTTTATTTCCATTTCTCTAGGAGGTGGGTCAAAAAGGATCTTGCTGTGATGTATCTCATAGAGTGTTGTGCCTATGTTTTCCTCTGAGAGTTTGATAGTGTCTGGCCTTACATTTAGGTCTTTAATTCATTTTGAGTTTATTTTTGTGTATGGTGTTAGGGAGTGTTCTAATTTCATTCTTTTACATGTAGCTGTCCAGTTTTCCCAGCACCACTTACTGAAGAGGCTGTCTTTTCTCCATTGTATATTCTTGCCTCCTTTATTAAAGATAAGGTGACCATATGTGTGTGGGTTTATCTCTGGGCTTTCTATCCTGTTCCATTGATCTATATTTCTGTTTTTGTGCCAGTACCGTACTGTCTTGATTACTGTAGCTTTGTAGTATAGTCTGAAGTCCGGGAGCCTGATTCCTCCAGCTCCGTTTTTCTTTCTCAAGATCCCTTTGGCTCTTTGGGGTCTTTTATGTTTCCATACAAATTGTGAAATTTTTTGTTCTAGTTCTGTGAAAAATGCCAGTGGTAGTTTGATAGGGATTGCATTGAATCTGTAGATTGCTTTGGGTAGTATAGTCATTTTCACAATGTTGATTCTTCCCATCCAAGAACATGGTATATCTCTCCATCTGTTGGTATCATCTTTAATTTCTTTCATCAGTGCCTTATAATTTTCTGCATATAGGTCTTTGGTCTCCCTAGGTAGGTTTATTCCTAGGTATTTTATTCTTTTTGTTGCAGTGGTAAATGGGAGTGTTTCCTTAATTTCTCTTTCAGATAGTTCATCATTAGTGTATAGGAATGCAAGAGATTTCTATGCATTAATTTTGTGTCCTGCTACTTTATGAAATTCTTTGATTAGCTCTAGTAGTTTTCTGGTAGCATCTTTGGGATTTCCTATGTATAGTGTCATGTCATCTGCAGACAGTGACAGCTTTACTTCATCTTTTCTGATTTGGATTCCTTTTATTTCTTTTTCTTCTCTGATTGCTGTGGCTAAAACTTACACAACTATGTTGTGTAATAGTGGTGAGAGTGGACCACCTTGTCTTGTTCCTGATCTTAGAGGAAATGCTTTCAGTTTTTCACCATTGAGAATGAGGTTGGCTGTGGGTTTGTCATATATGGCCTTTATTATGTTGAGGTAAGTTCCCTCTGTGCCTACTTTCTGGAGAGTTTTTATCATAAATGGGTGTTGAATTTTGTCAAAAGCTTTTCCTGCATCTACTGAGATGATCATATGGTTTTTCTCCTTCAATTTGTTAATATGGTGTATCACATTGATTGATTGCAAGAATCCTTGCAATCCTGGGATAAATCCCACTTGATCATGGTGTTTGATCCTTTTAATGTGCTGTTGGATTCTGTGTGCTAGTATTTTGTTGAGCATTTTTTTATCTATGTTTTATCAGTGATATTGGCCTGAAGTTTTCTTTTTTTGTGACATCTTTGTCTGGTTTTGGTATCAGAGTGATGGTGGCCTCGTAGAAGGAGTTTGGGAGTGTTCCTCCCTCTGCTATATTTTGGAAGAGTTTGAGAAGGATAGGTGTTAGCTCTTCTCTAAATGTTTGATAGAATTCACCTGTGAAGCCATCTGGTCCTGGGCTTTTGTTTGTTGGAAGATTTTTAATCACAGTTTCAATTTCAGTGCTTGTCATTGGTCTGTTTATATTTTCTATTTCTTCCTGGTTCAGTCTTGGAAGGTTGTGCTTTTCTAAGAATTTGTCCATTTCTTCCAGGTTGTCAGCCACCGGTTTTTATAAAGTTTATTAGAAGCCAGTCACGCCCATTAATTTATGTATTGTCTGTGGCTACTTTCACATTTCAGTGGCAGAGTTTGCATAATCAGGACAGAGACTGTATGGCCTCAAAGCCTATAACGTTTAACATGTGGCCTTTGACCGAAAAAGGTTGCTGACCCCTGATTTTAATCAAACTGAGCTCTTCGCAGTCAGACTGAGTGGAAAGGCTGTGAAGTCAAGGCAGACTTGAGATTGACACTTGACACCAGAAGAGTCACTGAACCTTAATTTATTCATTTGTGAAATGGGGATATAACACTTAGCTCTCTTATTGTCATGACATTAACCTGACATGTATAAAAGCATATGTTCCAAGTACACGGTAAGCCTTCAACACAAGCCATTCCACAGCTTCTTTTAGCACTAGGCTTATTTTCTTCCCCATCCACCTCCATCTCTGCCTCTCAGAATTCTACTTATCCATCACTCCCTGTAACTCCTTAGTGAAACATTTCCTGATTCCCAACATTTGGATGTGATTTCTCATTCCCCTATGTAATATGTTTTGTATTCCCTTCTAGACTATAAGTTCATTAAGATTTAGTAGTTACTTAAGTTGGTATCTCCTACATAATACCTCACATGGAATAAAGACAGACTATTTGTTCATTTGAATTGAATGAATTTACAAGGGAGAGATCACTGTGGACTGGCATTTTTAGTGAAGACTTCATTAAGGAGCTCCTCTCAAATAAGTATATGTGTGCTACATGGGGGTATGGTAATTGAGAAAAATGTAAGGTCAAATAAAGCTTGTAACTTTTAATTATCTGCTTTATGATGTAATAACCTTGCAGTTTTCTATAAAAGTTTCCAGGTCCTTGTGCTAGTTTTCTGTTGCTACATAAGAAATGATCCTAAAACTTAGGTTAAAACAACAAACATTTACTATCTCACACATTTTCTCAGGGTCGAGAATCCAGGAACAGTCTAGCTGAGTGGTTCTGGCTCAGGGTATTTCATGTAGTTGTAGTCACATTGTCAGATGGGGCTGCAGTCACCTGAAGGCTTGACTGAGTCTGGAGGATCCTCTTTCAAGCTCACTCACGTGGCCATCGGCAGGAGGCTCACTCCCTCAGCACGTGGGCTTCTCCCTGGGGATGCTCACGACATGGCTTCCAAGAAAGTGTGTGTGTGCGCGCGCGTGAGAGGGAGAGTGAGAGAGGGAGAGAGAACTGAGACTTAAGCCACAATAGCATCACAATTATATCTGCTTTTTTTATTGGCCATACAGACCAACCTGGTAAAATGTGGAAGGGAACTCCACAGAGGTATGCATAGCAGAGGATGTGGGTTGTTGGGGATCTTTTTGGGGTCTGGCCATCACAGTGCTTGATACCTGGGTAGTATTTACCCCAAAAGAATAATGTTTGCCTGTTCACATGAATGAAGCAATTGTTATCTCATCAGTGTCAGAGTTTTTAAATTTTCAAAAAGATTTTAAAACCTGTTATCACTGTGAATGAATTCTGTTCAGTTCCCTTAATATGAGGTTTAAGGACCTTTAGTAAAATTATAACTGTACTTTTATATTACAGAATAATTTCTGTTTATTGTCTAGTTGTCTTTCACTTTTCTGTTGAAATCTTGTTTTCTCTTCTCTCTTTTAATCATTCAGATTATTTTCAACGTAAAATAACCAAAGGGAAAGAGACAGACAATTTTTCAGCAGAGGATTCAGAAAGCCTTGGAGAAACTACTGATGTCTTAAATATGGTAATGGTTTTCCTATTTATGTGATATAGATATAAGTTCCTCATGTATTTGTATGTGTATGTCTGTGTATATGTATGTCTACTTCCTAAGCTGTTATATACATAGAAAAGCTTTTGTTTTTGTTTTGGTTTCATTCATTATTTTAAAATCAGCTTTATTGAGTTATAGGTTACATACAGTAAAATTCATTTCAACTCTCACATTATTAGTATGCAACTGAGAGTTGATTATATGACTATATGAACTGTTTTGTGTTAATTTCATTTATATATTTTTAAAAATCAATATATAATATATAAAAATATATAATCATATGTATAAATATATAATCATATATCTAGTCTTTATTCTTTTTAGAACATATTTTTTAAAATTTATTTCAGACACATATGATGAGCCTGAATTCCAATGAAAAATCTTTAAAATTATCACCAGTTCAAAAACAAAAGGTATAATATAGAGAGTTATTTTCACTATGATGGGTAAGAATACTTTAAATTATTTATATTTTTCTTGAAAGGTTTCTGGAAAGAACACAAGAAAGGTAAGCATTCACTTACTTTAGGATTTAAAAGACAGGGATACAATATATAGAGCCTCAATTTGGGCTTGTTCTGTTGGTGTGTATTTTCTGTGATGCAACAAGAGTGGCAGAATGTCACTGCCGAAATTTGCTCTTTGGAGTCACTAACAAGTGACGATAGCCATACTTTGTTACCGTCAAGGCAAAAGATTTTTATCACAGTTCTTAAGTATTGGAAGAGGCTACTGTCTATGAGTGCCTCTCACACTTTGGTTGAGTATGACTTTGGGTGAGTTACCTTGCTGACCTTACAGGATGATATTAACATCTTTTCTAGTTCTAAAATTTTGTGGGTTTAGTTGAGATATTTGGTAATTGCTTTTACAATGTTTGGAATAGGCATTAATTTATCAAGGAATTGGTAGCATAAAAACAAGATTAAACATTTGGAAATTAGTCAGAAACTATGCGTGGGTGATAAAGAGAGACCTTTAATGAATAACAAATGAATAGCAAGAGGAAGGAATATTCTGGTTTTCACAACCCTGGAGAGATAAAGGCCTGTCCTGAAGTCATTTGCTTTTCCTGGCTTTAGGGACCAGTGATGTGAAAGGATGAAGGGTTGAAGATTAGAAAAGTAAATTAGAGAAATGTAAATTGAAGGACGAAGGCTGCAGAAAACATTTAATTTCTATTTCTAGTGCCTTTGCCACATTGTTAAAATAAAAATCCTTAAAATCAAAGTCACTGAAATCCAAGAGAATCTTGCTAAATTATAAAAATTTAGTGCCAATCCTCATTAGTCCTATCTATATTTTACTGAGAGCCATGGTGAATAACAGCATTCTTTTTGAATATGGGAGAGCTTTTCTCCTAACACAGTTATGGAAGCTCAGTGACTGACTGATCTATTGACTTGACTATACTTCCAAGCAGACATCTTTTGTATGTCTTTCCTTCCTCTTAGACTCTGGGCTCTGCCTCTTCTGTGCTGCTTTATTGTGCTAGGCACATACATTTAGAAGTTATTTCTGGCAGCTGGGCCTGTCTCTCTTAGGGCTCTTGAAAGAATCATGACTTTTTAAAGAAGACACCTAGAACAAACAGAAAAGGAAAGCACTTTCTTTTAAACTGACATGTATTTTATACTTCACATAGTCCTTTTAAGTGGAGGCCCTACCAAGCCTAGGTATTTTTAGTGAATAAAAAAAGATTTATTATAGTATTTTTTATATATTAATTTTTAACTTGTGCTGTTTTAATAATTTACTTAGCGAAAAATGACCTCTTCCTAGGCCTAGCACTCGTCACAATTTATAAAACTTGATTTAGTGATGTTTTACTATCTAGAGACCCAAATTCATTGACTATTTCAATACATTAGCTTGTAGAATTTAGGTCAGCAATTTGATTTTTGCCTTATTTTGTCCAGCAGGAAATTAATTTCATATTCTTAATGTATCATCAAAATCTCAATGTTTCATTATATGTTTTTTATAAAAGTTTATAAAGTTTTTATAAAATCTTATATTTTACCTTAAGTATTTTTTTCTCATAGTGTTTTTTATGTATGCAAATTATTATAATTAAAGAATATAGTAGATAAAAGGAAGAGGGTCAAAAATTTGAGAACTCAAAGGATTTTGTTTAGAAAAGAAAAATATTAATTATTATCTAGTGTATTGATAAAAACATTTCATTTGTAGTTGTTATTGTTTTTTGGGGGTTTTTTTGTATTTTGGCCGCGGCATGTGGGATCGAACCTGGGCCTCTGCAGTGAAAGCGCCAAATCCTAACCACTAGGCCACCAAGGAACTTTCTCATTTATAGTTTTCATTTTAGATTTTTTTCTTCTAGAAATAAGTATTCATTATTTCAAATTTTTTAAAATTTCATATTTTCTTTAATTTTGAGAATTTCATGGAATCAAAAGACCAATCAAAATTTGACAAAACGATAGGGAAGGTAGAAAACCATACATTTTTTAGCAACATTTTGCAAAATCAGTCTGGAAATATATTTAAGAATTGATTCAGATTAAGAAAAGGGGCAGAGAATAAATATTGATGGTACTGTGCATAATGGCAAAGTTAAGGCAGGTGGTAAATTTGAAAGTTAAACACAGATATATGTTACTAAATCAAAATTAGATGTTCCACAGACTTAGAGAGTGGCATAAATTATCCCCCCAAAGAACCCAAAATCTGAGCAAAATGTCTGATAAAACTGGGCATTTTTATTCTAGTGAAATTTATAATAATGTAGAATCTTGGCAGTATTTTATAATAGATAAGTTACCTTTGTCAACTAATAGTAGTATGACGATTACTTGAAAAAATTTACAGAAACAAGAAACAATTGAGAAACTGAAGCAGCATACAGCTCATACTGAAAATGGCGGTAGTAATGAATATGAAAGTGAAGAGATGTCCAAAAAGATGAAAGAAGGGAAAGCATATAAACAACTTTTAGCAAAAGGAATGTACATGATGCAAGCAGCTGTGACTATGGAAGCATTTTCAGATGAGGACGTACGTAACAACTCAGGCCAGCAAAGGCCTCAGGCCAACACCAGTGCAGAGAGTTTGCAAAAAGGGATATTTAGACATGAAAATAAGCATGGTGTCTATCCACTTAAGAGTAAGGAAATAGAAAAGGAAAGTGATGAAGGACAAAGTCAGAAGGATTCAGAAGTGGAAAAAATAGTCTCTGAGAAGGAAACTGGCCTGGTGAAAATGACAGGTCTGAATGATATAAGAAAAAGTGAAGAGAATAGAAAAAATATTGATACATTCCTTGACGACTTACCAAATAGAGACATGAATATTGAGGATGAAGAAAATAAAAACTTTGTTAAGGAAAGTAAAAGTAACAAGCGAGATATGATCTTTGACAGTGAAAGAGAATCTATGGAGGAGCCAGACAGTTACTTGGAAGGTGATAGTGAAAGTCAGCAGGGTACAGCTGATGGATTCAAGCAGCCTGAGTCAATAGAATTTAGCAGTGGAGAGAAAGAGGATGAAGTGGAAACTGACCAAAACTTGCGGTATAGCAGAAAATTTATTGAACAAGGACATGAGGAAGAGATCGAACACAGAATGTCCAAATACATGGCAAAATATGGTTTTAAGGGTGACCACATATCAGACACCCCAGAGGAGCAGGAAGGAGAAGATGATTCAGAAGGAAGTGGAATAGAGGAGCAAGAGATAGAGATAAATGAGGAGGTGCCTGGAGAAAAAGAGGAAGAGGAAGCAAAGTTCCTGTCAGATGACCTTACAGACAGAGCAGAGGTGAGTGAAGGCGAGGGAAAGCCAGGGGGAGAGGCAGAGCACGTGCCTGAAGGTGGAGGCGAGGGAATCGGGAAAGAGGGTAATTCAGGAGTGGAACAGAGGAGTGGAACAGGAAGTGAGGAGGGGGAGGAGGAGAAAGACAAGGGAGGAGGAGAAATGGAGAGCCTGAGTAAGGGAGAGGAAGACCTGAAAGAGGAGGAGGAATGGGAGCAAAAGGAGAGGGAACAGGGCCATCAGGAGGAAAGAAACAAAGGGCTGGAGGAAGGGGAAGGGAGCGAGCAAGCAGGGGGGGAAGGAGAGGAGGAGGAAGGCAAGGAGGAAGAGGGGGGAGAAGACAGAGAAGGAGAGGAGAAGAGAGAAGGGAAAGAGGAAGAAGAGAAAGGAGAGGGGGAGGAAGTAGAAGAAGGGGAGGGGCAGGAAAGAGAAGAGGAAGGGCAGGAAGAAGAGGGGGGAGAGGAGGAGGGAGAGGGAGGAGAGGAGGAGGTAGATGAGCAGGAGGGAGAAGGGGGAGCGGAGGAGGGAGGAGAAGAAGGAGAGGAGGAGGAAGGAGATGGGGACGGAGAGGGGGAAAGAGAGGGGGAGGAGGAAGGAGGAGAGGGAGAAGGAGAGGAGGAGGAGGGAGAGGGAGAAAGAGAAGAAGGAGAGGAGGAGGAAGGAGATGGGGACGGAGAGGGGGAGGAGGAAGGAGGAGAGGGAGAAGGAGAGGAGGAGGAGGGAGAGGGAGAAAGAGAAGAAGGGGAGGAGGAGGAAGGGGAGGGGGAGGGGCAGGAAGCAGACAGGGAGGGAGAAGAGGAGGGGGAAGAAGGAGGAGAAGAGGAAGAAGAAGAGGGGGAGGAGGAAGGAGGAGAGGAGGAGGGAGAGGGGGAAGGAGAAGGGGAGGAGGAGGAAGGAGAGGAGGAGGGGGAGGGAGAAGAGGAGGGGGAAGAAGGAGGAGGAGAGGAAGAAGGAGAGGGGGAAGGAGAGGGGGAGGAGGGGGAAGGAGAGGGGGAGGAGGAGGAGGGGGAGGGGCAGGAAGCAGAGGGGGAGGGAGAAGAGGAGGGGGAAGAAGGAGGAGAAGAGGAAGAAGGAGAGGGGGAGGAGGGGGAAGGAGAGGAAGAGGGAGAGGGGGAAGTCAAGGAAAGGGAAAAGAAGGAGGGGGCAGCGAGGGAGAGGAAAGAGGAAGAAAACAGCAAGAAAGAAGGGGAGAAGGAAGAAGAGGAGGATGATGAGGAAGAGGAGGGAAAGTACCAGGAGAGAGGCAATGAGGAAAGTGGAAGGCAGGGAAGACAGGGTGGAGGAAGAGAATCCAGAAAAGGGAGCAAGATGAGAGGATCTGTGAAATATGACAAAGATAAAACATATCCAAAAAAGTTTATTACTAACAGGGAAGGAAAGGGGAAAGAGCATGAAGTACAGAGGTTCAAAATGCCAGTGCAGTCAAAACAACTCTCAGAAAATGGGCCACCAGGTTCCAAAACATTTTGGAATAATGTATTACCACATTATTTGGAATTGAAGTAACAAACTTTAAATTGGACCTGATTATGTCCAGCCAAACAACTTGAACACATTATGAAGAATAGGCACTCATTCTGTTATATTGATTTTATGTCATGGTTACCTTACCTGTGGTACAGTAGAAACTGATAAAGATAACTTGAGGCACTGGTAAATTTTGGTTTCTCTTAAACTAATATTTTGGTGTATTTTCCCCTGAATTATAAATATATAAGTAGAAAATATCAAAAGATCATAGTATATAATTAATATTATTATTCCTCATTAAAGACAGTTTTAGGAAACGAGTATATTGTAAAAGTATTTTGTGTATACAAGTAAGTCCCTTTAAATATGGCACAGATCTTTAAGGGTTATAAAAACGTCTAATTTCTTATAACTATGGTAGCATAGTTTTTTCAGCCTGTGATTACAGTTTCCCTACCGTATAGAATAATTTTATAAGAATGGGTGGTATTCTAAAGCTAAAATGAGGAATTCACATTTTTTAAAAAAATAGTGCTGTCTTTTTACCTTTTATGTGTCCTTTTTGCAGCAATCTACAAAGTGACAGCTGGGTTCAGAGCTTAGACTCTAATGTCTCTTTTAGTTACTGTTTGGTAAATGACAGAATATCTAATGAAATGGGGATGAACGTATATTGTAAAAGTGTGAAAAACTTTAAGTATTTATTGCCAAGCAAAGCTACTCTTTGGGCTTCAGTTTCCTTATCTGTAAAATAGAATGGATTAGATGATATGATAACTGTAGCCCCTTGTAACTCTTAGGTTCTTTCATTCTAACGTGTTTGTTATTTGCATAAGAAAATTTTTTAAGGAAAAAAATTATACTTTACAATTAATCTAGTTTTCCATGAAATGTTCTTTACTCTTAAAAAATTATGACACCTTTAATGTCTTTTGTCTTCCGTAATTCTGTGCTTCTAAACTCCTATCATTTTGAGCTTTCACTGTACTGTCAGACCTTCATTCCCAGTACTGCCATTCCCAGTGTCTATTACTTACCTTCAATGTATTCTTCATTCACTCTTTTGTAATTCTTTGTTTGCTGTTTGTCAGAATGTTTCAAGTAAAATAAAAATTAAATGTATACAGTCAGTAGTTGTCTGTGAAAAGAGAAACTAATATTAGATATTGAATTTTAGAGAGGCTAGATTTCCACTAGAGTAATTCCATTGTATGTAGTGCAGCTAGTTTGTTTCATTATTGTTTATTCATAGCTTTCCTTCCCCAGTCCTTTCTATATCTTAGACATGAGGAATTTCTTATACTTACTTTTATCAAGGAGGATTGTGATGGTAAACATCCTATGAATTTTGTGTAGTTGAATTCTTTGCACATTTGATTTTTCATGAGTGAGAAAGAATATGAGGAAAAAGACTAGGATAGGAAGTGAAGAAATTCCTAGGAGTAGTTATAAATTTTGTCTTAGCTGCAAGGCTCTCTGGTAGCTTCCACTGACTAACCAAATATACGGATTTGGCATTGCAGTGTTCTAGCAAATTCTACCACATTCATTAGTGTTAGTAGAATTGAATTAATACTTTGATTAAAATGTATGTGCTGTGTTGTTAAATCTGGTGCAAAACGTGGTTATCTTAGAAGTAGACTTAAGATTAAATAAGATGGATGACAGAAGTGGAGTTCATAAAGGAAAAACCTCCAAGGAGGTGAGAAACTCTTAAACTCAAGTTAAAGGTATGGGCATTCATCTTCCACTGAAGAGATCATTAGCCAGCAATACTGAAATGATGTTCTTAAAATATGTGCATCTCAGAATTTGAACCAGTCTAGATAACCAATTGTAAACAGCATTTCGTACCCATTTCTTCACATTTCCCTGGCCCCCAAAAATCTTTGTGCTCTTTTAGAAGCAGTAATTCATGCATGCCTGGTACTCTGGTCAAAAGAGCACCGGCCTAGTCATTTTCAGACCTGAATTAATAGTTGGTTAAGTAGATTGGAATAACTAGTTCCTCCTTTATTGTCCCCATCTGCTGGTTGATCATGCTTTTACTGTAGTTTATCAGTCATCATTTTTGAGGCAAGTGTGAGTTGTGTATGTAGAATCCATTGAATTACAGTTTCAAATGAGGACTCTGGCAGAAAAATAAGGTAAGCTACAAAGAAGTACCGCAGAAACATCTGCTGCTGCTGACCAGCAGCACTCCAGGTGAGTGCAATTGAAATGTTTTCTATTATTTCACTATAGAAATAAATTTTCTGTATACATGTAGATTAAAAATAAAATGCTACCTCGGAGAAGGGTGCTGTAATTCCTTCCTTCATTCTTTCCATTGTGAAAGTTAAATGTGATATTATATGCCCAGTACCTGACACATAACTTACGGTTGGTACATATTATTCAGTCAACAAATATGTACCAAGCACCAAAAAGAGAACAGAAGCTACCCCGAATCAGGTGGATCTCAAGCAGTGAGGGCTGCAGGAGCACAACTTCCTGTGCTCCTCTGACCTATGAGGGATGTTAGGTAGGTATAGATTTCGTGAAAGAACACCAGGTAAAAAGAGTTCCTATGACTCTGCCTTAACTGTTGCTTAACAGTGCCCTTATATTTCTTGATACCCCCATGTTATTAGCCAAGACTGCCCAAAGATAAAAGTATGATTTGGAAACAAATCTATGGCTTTCCTCCATTAAATCCCTTAGTTAATAAGAAGAAAGTGCTTTTTATAAGATATGGCTCCTGATCTCAAGGAACTCTTGGCTGTTTCTACAGGCTGACCAGAAAATTTACCAGCACGGTAGAGTGCTTCAGGGGTGGCACTTCAGCTGCCACTGGGAAAAACAAGGAAAGGGCTTCCGGGAGTGCTGGTGAAACTTGAACTGAGTCATGAAAAGTAAAACCTATCCAGGCAAAGAGGGGGCAGGGTGATGAGAGCCAGGCTGACGGAAGCCAGGAGAGTGTTTCCGTGTGACTGCAGCCTAGAGTATCCTTTGACCTGGATAGAGGGGCACAAGAGCTTCCGTGTTTGTAAAAGATGTTAAAAAAGAGTAAGATGATCACACTTGGGCTTTTGTAGCGTCATTCTGGCAGCAATATGGAGGGTGGATTAGAAGGGAACAGGACCAGGGTCAGTCAGAAGGCAGTTACAGTAGACCAGGCAGAGACTGAAGAGGGGCTGGACTAGGACAGTGGGATGGAGAGTTGCAGACCTGTATTAGTGAGAGAGATTTGTGGATAGAATTGGAGAGCTTAGTAAGGATATGGAGCTTGGAGGGAGGTAAAGTCCAAGCTTTTCTTATTTCTGGCTTGGAAAATTGGGAAGAAAGGGTGCCATTCACGGAGACTGAGAACTGAGGAGTAGGGGCAGATTGAGGAGACTGCTTGGGGGCTTGTTGATCCAGGAGATGTTCAGCAGGCAGATACACATCTGGGTTTGGAGCTCAGGGAAGATGCTGAGTATCAGCAGCTTATAAATGTAGTTAAAACTGTGGATTTGAATGAGAGGCAACATTCGTATTGTGAAAAGAGAACTGAAGAGAATTCAGGGAAACATCAGTAGGTAAGGGGAGGTTGAAAAAGGGAAGCCTGAGAAGGAGGAAGGGTAAGAACACTTTCTAAGAAACAGAGGGGCCCCCAAAACCAAGGAAGAAGGAGCAGTGGAGGGCTGCAGAGAGGATCTGGGGCAGGGCCCACGTTGACATCAAAGAGTGAACTCCAGGAAGTCCGCTTTTCAGAGACATAGAATCAGAACTAGATTTTGAGAAATAAATATCAAAGAGCTCTACTGGCATATTTCTTAATTTAGGAAGGGAGATGTATGTTCCAGAGACTTTGCTGCTCTGGGGGGAAAAATTCTAAATTTTTATTTGCTGTTATTATGTACAATGGTTACATAAGAATAGGGTATTGCTGAAGTGAGCTTATCAACAAAAAAGAGGAGTATGCAATGCTTTAAATATCAGTGGGTGGGGTGGGGTGGTGAGGAAACAACTCTGAGGGCAGCCATTATGGTCTGCAAATTATTTGGGCAGAGTTGGTTCAGAGCATGGGCTCTGTAGTCCAGTAGGGCTGAGTTCCAAACCCAGCCCTTCACTGATTAACTGAGTGGACACCTGGAACGTTGTTTTTTTTTTAACCTTTCTGAGTCTTATATCCCTCTTTTAGTAAAGGGGGGGGGGTCTTTTGATATTTACATTAGTTAACACATAGAACATGTTAGGGGTACTCAGCAAATGCTAACCTGCATCACTCTAATTATCCTCTCTGATCATACCAAGTCAGGTACAGTGCTCCCCTCATGAATCTCCAAGTCACTGGATGATGTGCATGAGTTTAACTTAGTTTCATGTGCCTGTAAACCTTACTTTCGTTTAAATACAGCGTAGCAACCCCCCAAAAATTAGCTTATGGAGGTAGATCCATGGAAATGAAGTGGATAATGATAACCCTTAAATATGGGGTAGAGTGAAACTATCATTACACACCACACATGGGTCAAATACTGCCCCTCAACATTTGAACCACGACGAAAGGCTGATGGTACTCACATGGTTAGCCTGAATTTAGATATTAGTGCTGTCACCGGACCACAGATTTCCCTCTGTATCCTAATGTTTTTATCACATAGTTAAAAAATAATTCACACATAAAGTGTAATCATGGATCATGCATTTGTTTAAGATAAAGAGGAAGATAAATCATCTAAGGAAAAGGAGGGGGAAAATAATAGAGTAAAACTGAAAACAAGAATAAAACTGTGAACCAGCAAGATGTTCTGTACCCTGAGCACTACATTCATTTTTGCAGGCCACTTATCAGAGTCAAACTGTAATATATTTGGTGATAAAAATACAGGATTAGGAATGAAGTAAGGGACTGGCACACAGAAAGAAGGGAAAGTTTAGAGATTATAAAGTAGTGTCATTAAGAAGTGAAGAATTGGAAGTCACAACTGGCAGCCCATGGGTGCAGTCTGGCCTGCAGACTTATTTTGTTTGGTATACATAGTGATTTTTTAAACATTTGAATGAGATGCCAACATTGAAATACCAGGAGATTTTACATTGAAAAAATATTTTTCCGGGCTTCTCTTGGAAAACGTGAGGGCCTAGGAATACCTTGCCCTGTGGCAACACTGGCCTGTAGCCCAGCTGAGGCCACCCCCCACTTCCCTGCCATCCAGGGGCTGCTCCTGACAGGCGTCCGCCTTCTTCCCTCGCTTGCTCTAGCTACCGGGCACCTGGCAGAGAATAAAGGGATGTGTATGAGAAGGTAGAGCAAAGAAGTGTACATTTTAAGTGAACTATTTTCTATTGATAAGATCTGGGACGTGGCAAAAAGCATCCAAGCTTCTTGTTTTTTGACAGTCCTCAGTGCATACTTGGTATTCTATCTTTTTATAGAATGGCCTTTATAAAATCACTTATATTTATATACAAGTACTTATTGTTTGCTCATATTATTTTCTCTGTAAACAATCTTTTTCATCTTGATACAAACCCTCCTAGGTAGGTGTTGCTCTAATGTCATTTTTCCATTTTACAGATAGACTGAAATACATTAAGTAGGTACCTTGCTCAGGCCAAGAGTAGTAGAGCAAGGCTTTGGAAAACAGTGTTTAGGTCTTTGTATTTAGTGCCCTTCCCACTCTCCACTCCTGCCTCAGTGATGTCTAGTGTAGTTAAAACTTGAACTTACATGTTAGCTCTTCTTGTCCTAAAAACACATATCTTGAGATTTTAAAATATACACTTTCCACCCGATGACTTAGATATGAAGTTTTATGCTCTATTTAACTTGTTTGGAAAACATTTTCTACCCAGTGTGACATTGAGGCATGTCATGAATCCAGAATTGTAGCACAAAATTTTACACTTTATAGTCAACTTGAAAAAAAATTCTTTTGACGTTAATACATAGACAAGTATATATCTCATACATGTATAGCTCAATGTATTTTCCACAAACTGAACACACCCGTATAGTCAACATCCAGATCAAGGAAAAGCACAGTTCAGCTCCCTAGAAACTCCCCTTCAATCCCCTGCCAGCCATTTCCCATCCGCCACCCCCTCCAGGGTGACCACTAGGCAGACTTCTGATAGCAGCCTCTAGTTTTTAAAGCATACAATGTAATTGTTTCTTAAGCAAACTGAAACCTCATGGGAACATTTGGTTTCTTGGTATTTCCCATAAGAAATGTAAAAAGTGTTGCCCTGGGCCAGACCAAAGACTGCAGCTCCCCATGCTGTGTCTGACCAATGAAATAAGGGTCCTTTGGTGGAAGCCAGGCCCATTCACTTCTTCGCTGGGGTCCTAACACCAGATGCACTTCCACTGACCACTCCAGATTACCTCTTTACATTATATGTGGTTCTGGTGACAAGAATGTATTTAAACTTTATCCTTTCTTTTTATAAAATGACAGTATTCTGCCAGTCTCTCCTAAATTATTTCAGTTTGAAGGTAAGTGCTGTATGTGACTTAAAGTAGTTGTCCAGATATATGTAGATTAATTTTAAATGTGCTTAATTAAGTGCAAAGTGTCATGATTGATGATGTGATTTCTACTGCAGATGCCATTTTCTAAGAGCTTTCTCAAACTTTAGAAAGTGATATAGTTTATTGTTGATATAGATTTACATGAAGTTAATGAGTAAAATTGTAGTTCATTATAAAAGAGATGTTTTGCTTATTTCTAAAATAAGCTAGAACTCCATGTTTCTTTTTATAATAGCATGATATCCTATGGTTACATTAATACCTTAGTAAACTAGCACAACTGGAATTGACCCAGGTCCTAGATTTGCCAAACTGTCCAAGTAATGAGGACTTTGATAGAATACAGCTCACTGACCCTCCCTCTGGGAGATAAGTGGGCAGAGTCTGAAATTCTCTGTCTCGGGAGCTTTGTTCTTTCTAGTTGGCCTTCATATATGTACATTTATGAATACATCTGTTTATCAGGCCTAAGTCTTAAATCTAGTAATCTTGCTTCCCATTCCCTTCCAAAGTAAAATGATCTCTGATCATTTTAGCTACCCATAACGTGCATTTGGCTAGCCATGATATGTCACTTAGAGGGGAAATCATGCAGAAGAAAAAGAAAGCTTTAGAAGTTCTTGGTAAATGGTAGCTACCTTGTTGTTAACCCTACCCAACCTAAACATGTAGCACATCCTTTAATGTAACTCTCTACCCTGGTACCCTGTTCCCTTCTCCCACATTCCCCTCCTGAGTGCACTGCCTCATGACCTTGATTAACCTAAGTTAAGCCCTCCCAGAGTAACTTCTGAAACTCTTTCTTAAATCTCAAGGCTTCACTTGCAGATTGCTTGTCCTCAGTGGGAATGCTATTAGGCCATACCCTTAGTGCTGTTGGCCTGAGGATGCCACTTATATGTTTTACTAAGGTGTGAAATACAAACACGTTCTCTCCCTAGCCTGAACTCTCACAATTTGTATTTTTGCCAGAAAAAAAGGTGAGTTAATTATTAGAGACATTCTTTTCAAACCACCCAGTAAAGATTTTGTTGGGTGTCAGGCTTATCCTTAGCCAAATAGCCACTAGGAAGGTGACCATGAGAAGCTAGTTACAGTGTTGAAGGGATATAAAGGGCATATATGGTCTCAGGCAAATATGGTTACGGTGAACTTTGTAAAAACATTCTTCAAGGGAGTGAATGGCACAGATTGCTTACTGTGTCACCTATTTTAGGGGTCATTTTGCCTTTAGTGAAGTACATAAATGAAAAGCATAGGAAAAAATATCCAATAAAGAGTCCAGTCTCTTAATGACAATAAATAAGCAGTTTTCCACCCAAAATATGAAATGGCAAAAAAAAAAATCTCAGTATAGAATAAAGGGTAAAACTAGTATTTTCTGCCTTAATAAGCATTACATGATTTATTACCAGCCTATCAAATCCATAGACAGGCCGTTTTGTAATTTGGATTAGCTTGATAGGAGCCAGATGGACTAAGTTCTCCCTCTGGTTTTCCATCTGCTTTAAATAACCAAGAGCAAACAATTTAAAGTGCCTATGTCCCTTTATCCTTTTCCCAGAATGTAAGTAATTATAGTTACCTCTCTCTTGTGAATATTGGTGAATTGTACTTCTGAAGTGATTTTAAATCCTTATGTTTTTGGAAAATGAACGTAATATATACATATGATTATGTTATAATGCTACAGTAGATAGAAAGCTTTTTAACTTCTCTAATATTTAAAAGCATTCTTTTGAGACAGCCCAGAAAGCATTTTGTTTTTCCATTTTAACCTTACCATAGGTGGTAAAAAGAACTTTGGGAACCCTAGTCATTGGAAATGTTAAAATAGAGTAACATGCATGAAATCCTTGGTAATATAGTAACTTGATATGCAGCATGGATTATTCAGTATTTTATTTCTTTGACTTTAATATTTGAATTCATAGTCTATATGTTCTTTGAGATGGTATAAATTGTTTACGACAGCAATATCAAATCTCTGTTTTTTAAAGAAGAAAATTTTAACTCTTCCCTGATCATCAATTTTGTCACAGGATCACGAATTTTCAGAAGATGATGAGCCAGAAGACGTGCATGAGGAAATTAAGGAATATCTAGAAGGCGAGAAGAAAGCTACAGGAGAAAATAAAAGTGTTCCTGCAGACGACCACAGTGAAACCGACAACTCAGTTAAAAAGGTATTGACAGCCATTGAAAAGGTATGATGATAAGTGCTTAAATCCCAAGACCCTGCCCAAGAGAAAGCATATGGGTCCCCTGGTCTCTGCAGAGGGCAGATTCCAGCTTCCTTGGAGAACAGAAATATTTCCATGAATAACTTTGTTCATGTGCTATAGGACAAGCTTTGACAAATTTATGAATCAGACACCCTTTTTTCTCTAGCATTCTTTCCAGATTTCTTGGTAGCATTCTGTTCTTCAAATGAATGGAAATCGATTGATATGGGCCAGTTTAGTACACTCTTGAGAAATTAATGAAGAAGTTCAGCCCCAGGTCCTTGAAATGATAAAATTACAACGTTAGCAGCCCAGTACTAGTGGCAGAAATGAGATGTGTATGTGCACACATACGTGTGTATATTTACATGTACATGGACAAATAAAAGTTGTTCACAGCAGTGTTTGAGGTTGTGATCAGTTCTGCAGAGATGTGGTATAGAAGAAAGTATTCATAGGAGGAATGGGAGGAGGCCTCACTGAGGAAGAGAAAGTCATCCTGAAAGTGGAGCTAGGGATGCCAAAAACATCTCTTCCATTTGGCAGATAGAAGAGTGACCCTGCTAGGAGACGGTAGGTTTGAAATCATTCGTTTGCTAGCACTACTCTGGATTCATTTCAGAGGTATGGAATTCAGAAACCCAAACTGAATGATACTGTATTGATTCATTTTCATTTCATTTTTTGGACCTCTTGCAAAGAGCTCTGAGTTAATCCTGCCTTCTCATTGATGAAACACTATCATCACTGGTCTGTGCGAGGTGCTTCTCTCTTTATTTAAATTGATTCCCTTTGAGCCTCATTCCCCTTTTCCCTAACATAGCCAACCATTGAAACATGCTCGTCCTTTTATTTGAATGTGTAATTGTAAAACATGTGTTGTTGTTTTGTGTGTATTTTTTTTCAATTTACAAAATGGTATTGTGCTAAAGAGGTCATTCTCTTCCTTGCTTCCTTCTTTTTCCAAGACTCCTTCCTCTCACTGAGGAAAAAATATGTTCTAGCAGTTATTGTTTTCTTTCGGAGGGAGGGAACAATGGAACTTCCCTGGTGGTGCAGTGGTTAAGACTCCACGCTCCCAACGCAGGGGGCCCGGGTCCGATCCCTGGTCAGGGAACTAGATCCCACATGCAAGCCGCAACTAAGGAGCCCACATGCCGCAACTAAGGAGCCTGCCTACCACAACTAAGACCCAGCACAACCAAATAACTAAATATTAAATGTTAAAAAAAAAGAGGGAGGGAAAGATTCTGTTTTATAAAGAACATTTATGAGTTCCAGTTATGGTGGTCCCTGAAATTCTTTAGCATAGGATTCATTAAACTCCAATTTGACATTATAAAATGTTGAGCTAATTCCTATACCAATTAATGTTCCTGAATCTTCTTTGAGTAGAATTCTTAAATATACAATTCTTGTTAATTATACGATGTTTTTTTTAAGGGAACTTTATTTATTTATTTATATATTTTTAAATTTATGGCTGAACTGGGTCTTCGTTGCTGCACAGGCTTTCTTTAGTTGTGGCGAGCGGAGGCTACTCTTCATTGTGGTGCGTGGGTTTCTCATTGCAGTGGATTCTCTTGTTGCGGAGCATAGGCCCTAGGCACATGGGCTTCAGTAGTTGTGGCACGAGGGCTCAGTAGCTGTGGCTCGTGGGCTCTAGAGTGCAGGCTCAATAGTTGTGGCGCACAGGCTTAGTTGCTCCGCGGCATGTGGGATCCTCCCAGACCAGGGCTCAAACCCGTGTACCCTGCATTGGCAGGTGGATTCTTAACCACTGCGCCACCAGGGAAGCCCTAATCATGCAATTTTAAGCTAGGAAAGACATTAGCAATCACCCAGCATCTAAGGCAGGAGTCCTGCAAAGGGAAGTAATTGTCACATGTTTATGTTGTTAGCTAGAGACTGACTCTAGAACCCTGCTTAAAACCAAGACTAGGTTTTCTAGCTCAGCACAAATCTGTTTTTTATTATATTGTTTCTTTATTGTTTATAGGACACAAAAGCCAACCGAGAGGAACGGGCCATTCGTGAATACAGTGAAAATCCAAAAGGTGTGAGCACATTTGACTTCAAAAGCATACTTTTAAAAAGGCTAGATACAGGGCTTCCCTGGTGGCGCAGTGGTTGGGAATCCGCCTGCCGATGCAAGGGACGCGGGTTCATGCCCCGGTCCGCGAGGATCCCACATGCCGCGGAGAGGCTGGGCCCGTGAGCCATGGCCGCTGAGCCTGCGTGTCCGGAGCCTGTGCTCTGCAACGGGAGAGGCCACAACAGTGAGAGGCCCGCGTACTGCTAAAAAAAAAAAAAAGGCTAGATATATAGATTACTACGTTCATATGTACATACAGATATTTATGCATATATGTGCTTTAACTAAAGAATTATGACTTACACGTATGTATTCTGTTTTACACTTTTTATTGTCACATGACCCTCATAATAAGCTATGAAATATGTGACACAGGCTTATGTGTTCTCATTGATCACCACCACAGCTTCTTCATGGCTGCTCATGTGTCAGTGTTAAGTGGTTTAGAACAGCCTTTTTACTACTTTTTTTTTTCAATCAGTATTATTAAATAGGGCTTTTGTCCCAGACCTTGATATATATGCCTGGTGAGCACTGCCAGACCCCATCGCTGATGTCCAGGCTGGTCTAGAGCCACAGCAGCCCATCCAGTTATTTCCCCCCTGATCCGAGACCTGAGTCTTTGATCTTACCACAGGCGTTTCAGAGGAGTCCTTTCCCAAACCTTGCTGTTGGTGTCAGAGAACAGGTGCCACAGAACAGAGGAGACCATGACTGCCCTTGGGACCTACAGTTTCTACACCCAAATCATTGGTGCTTTTGCTATATGACCCCTATATTATGTTTCCACACCATCACATCACAGTGGGCCTTTTGCTGCGATGTCATTACAAATAACTGTCTGTGGTAGTGGATATCTGATCAGAACTTAAGCAGAAGAAGGAATAGTTCCCTTAATACATTTTTCCTTCTAACTTCTGCAAAAAGAGTAGTAAGTTTTAGAATATTTTAAGCAAAATGTTAAAATATTTGTCATCTCTAAGTATTCTTAGCATATAACCTAAAGTGTTAAAAAGAAATTAAATGTAAGATTTAAGTTGTTGATAATATAAAATTAGAAGAATGCATATGCTTCATGAGTCTACTTTAAAGATCATTATTCAACTATATAACATGTGGATTAATTTGAAATACCAAAAAAATGACATGCCCGTTTCAGTACAAATAATTTCACTACAATGAGGCTAATTTTTTTTAAAGGTAATTTATATTTTACAGAAGTCTTCCCTAACATTTACTGTTACGTTTGCTATACTTAGTACTGGTCATCTAAACATTTACAACATTGGTCAGGTCATTCCGAGATTTTTGCCTTAATTTTTCAGGAAATATGTAGTTGTCCACTACCCTTTAGTATTACCCCATAATTCATGGTTGATAGAGTTTCACTGAAAGCCTCAGGACTTTTCTTTTTCTCATTAGTTAGAAAAAATGTTTCTAAATATATCCTATCATAGGAAATATGCATGATCGTGCAAAGAGCAATTCTTCAGAAATCCTGGAAGATAGTAAATCAACAAAAAAATCAAAGAAGGTAAGTGAAATGAATTTTTCATTTTAGTGTTAAGGCTAAAGTATTGAATTGCTTCTACTACTTTTTATATAGTGATCCACATAATTTAACTCCCTTAATATGAGTTTTGATGACTCAAGCACATGTGACGAATTTCAGGTGATGTTTCACATTTTTAACGTGCATATTTACTTATTGGATTTTAGATTATGATTCAGATTGCTCTGCAAAAAAAAAAAATAGCATGTTCCTTTCAATCATCCCACGCATACTGATTCATCATACAATAAAAGATGTAAAAGAACTCTACTGCTTAAATTATAAGAGTATAGTATCCTGAGAGTCTAGAAGAGAGTAAGGCAAAGCCAAGAAATAGGATGAATGAAAAAATAAAGGTGACTGTGCTTAGAAAACATCACAACATGCTACTCCAGTCTCTCCTAGTACCTGTTTTGGAGTTGTTACAAATCTGATGGATACATTTTTTCTTCTTGGAAGTAAATTACTCTTTCCACTTGCAG